GGATAGGTAGATAGATAAATAGATAGATAGATAGATAGATAGATGGATAGATAGATAGATAGATAGATAGATTGGATGGATGGATGGATAGATGGATAGGTGGATAGGTGGATAGATGGATAGATGGATACATAGATAGATTGGAAGTAGATAGATAGATTGATCGATATATTGGTTGATCGATCGATCGATCGATAGATCGATAGATAGATAGATGGATAGATGGATAGATTGATTGAACGATGGTCAGATGAATCAACAGATTGATTGATGGGTAGATGGATAGATATTTGATAGTATACACACACACACATATATATTTATGTATGTGTGTTTATAATTAGATAGACAGATAGATAGATAGGTAGGTAGATAGCTCGTTAACAATCATGTTATTTATTTATTTATTCATTTTTGTGCTATCCTGTTCTTGGGCAAACCACGGGGTCTGTGCGTATATTTAGATAGTAGCTAGATAGATCGACCGCTACATAGGTAGGTAGATAAATAGGTAGATGGATGAGATTCATGCTTGGATGGATGGATAGGATCGGATCGGAGAGGAGCGGAGAGGAGCGGAGAGGAGAGGAGAGGTGGATAGATGGGATAGATTCGATGCATAGATAGATGGATGATGATGGATGGATGGATGGATGGATAGATGAAAAGAGAGATAGATGAGGTAGAAAGATAGATAAAATATTTGCCTAGATTAGATTTGCTAAGATTTAATTAGATAGGTAGAAGGTAGATAGATACATTCGATCTGGAACCCAAACGACCGCTCTTTCAGATGGTTCAGGCTGCATTTTACGCTTCAACGCCTTGCGTTCATTTTTCCATCCCGACGTTGCCTCACGTTTGCATGGGGACCACTGTGTAGTATGGCATGAAGTATACTCAGATCCTAGCTGGTTGGTGGTTTTTATATGAACTACAGCCAAAATTTGCCGTAATGGAGAGTAGTGTTCGAGGCATCTCTATTTTTGGGAAATTGAGCTGGGGCATGGAAAACGATAATACACTCTTCAAAAAACAATAACATTTGCTTATGTTTGATCTTGGTCATCAGTCATCCTTTGTCTTACGGTGCAGGTTATTCGATGCCTTTATGTAGGCATTTAATAGTATTCACCATCTGTTTGAGAGATAGGCAAACGGCAAAATCCCGTTTTGAACCGGTGGTATCTGGTAATATGCATTGCTGTGATGTGGTGATGGTCTGTTTATGCTGCTGTTTGCGCTGCATGCTGAATTTTTTCAAGTACTGTACGGCCACATATCAGTCTTTTGCCTCAACTCTTGCTAGTGACAACGTGCCATGCTGGAGAAAGGAAAGAACAAGGTCTTGCCTTGCGGCAGGAACAGTGTGGGTGCTCTAGATTCCGTTCTTTCCTCTATTCCTTTTGGAGTTTGTGCTTTTCGTTTTCCGCAGCAGCCTCAAGCTTTGCTCAAGACAGCATTAGGAATTTTCAAAAGAAGGGTTTCCCAGAATCATTGTTTTGCAGATTCTTGTGATCCAACCAGGCGTCCCAAACGATAACCCAAACGATAACGAAACCAAAAATCGCATAATCCCTATCGGCCAGACGCTGGCCCATTGCTCGCTGAAAAAATGTTTTTCTTGGTGCACGTTGCTCGTCCAAGATGAGCAGCAAGCAAGCGCAAGACATTGTTGGAACTGAAAGCGGAAGATATGAAAATGAAACTTTCGTGCCAGACTTCCCTCAAAAATTGAACGTGGAAGATGTCAAAATGAAGCTTTCGTGCGAGACTTCCCTCAAAGACTGAAGTGGAAGATGCGAAAATGCTGCTTTGGTCAGTTGTGGTGGTTGTGATAGTGGTGGTGGCGACAGTGGTGGGTGATAGTGGTGGTTGTGCTAGTGGTGGCGACAGTTCCATGAAGAAAATTAATAAATGTCCAAGAATTTCGCTTGATTGTGCTGCATTTGAAAGTGTCAGGAAATATCCCATCCATCGCTGGAAAACCATCAGAATACAATGGAACATACAGGGAATACGAACATGGTTTCCCAAAACCTGAAAAACAATAATGTTTTGATGACCTATATATTAAATATTGACCGTGGCCCATATGTTTTTATAGGTTTTTTCTGATGTTGACATGTTTCGACCTTCAATCTCACACCTAAGATGATTTTGTTCAACCTGGGGAAGTTTTTTTTTGAAACTCGTCATTTCATGGCTGGTTTCACCTTCATCACCTTCAGCCCTCCCAGGTATTATGCTCGAAGAAACCTCGAAGCCTCCACGCAACTTGGACCTTCTCCTTCACAAAACCGCCCAATCACAGTAGATTCGCTGCTTAGGACGGTGCGCATGGGCGAAAACTGTCAGCCCATTCTTACGCTGGACGCCTGTTGGCTCCCGCTCCCAGCACTGCGCGATGGATCGAAACTTGCCGTGACTAATGTTGGGGGTTAAACCACAAGGCGGCAAGACCAAAGGAACTAGTTATCTATTTAGATTATTTTAGATCTATTTGGTCATTTTTTTCATTTTTTTCAGGGAGGTTGAAACCACCAAGCAGTACACTCTCCATCCTGGTAAGGACTCTGCACCCCTATGCAGATACCTTGCTGTTTGCCTTCCGAACGCTTCGCTGGGAATCTCGTCTCAGAAGCAGTGCATAATTTTGGTATATTTTGGTTGTTGGCATGGGCAATCGTGATACCTCATACAGCCAAAGACAGGTACAAGGGTACAAGTGAGGCTATTTCGGCATCGGCGGTAGAGAACCTGAACGTCGGGATCACACCATGTTTGCACCTACTGAGCCCCAGCCCACTCACAACATGCAGAAAAATAAGACAACGTATCCCCTTTGTTTCCCCCCAAAGAAACACTTCTAGATTCTATAGAGACTTCTAGAGTACCCTCAGGTAAACTAACATAGCTATTGAAAATGGTCATTTATAGTGATTTTTCCCATTAAAAATGGTGATTTTCCATAGCTATGTTAGTTTACCAGAGGGTAATTATCTCTTGTGTGGGTGGTTCAATCACCAGCTGCAGGTGCAGATGAGGCTGCAGGTCCTGGCTTGAAAAGTCCGACGGCAGAGATCTGGGTCAAGACATGTCGTTTGTACCGATAATACACGATAACTTTGCGTTTTTTTATATAAATGGAAAAAGTACGCAGATGATGTTTTAAAGCATCAAATTAGGCAATTTACAGGTAACGGAAAATGAGGATAACTCATGGATTTAGTACCATGATTTGAGCCACAGATGTGAAAAGGACGGTGATCACACCCGTTTTGCCATAGCATTTCACTAAATCTTATATATATATATTATATATACGTATATATAATTATATATATATATATTGTAATATACATCATATTGAGATGTATTGAGCTATTTAACTATGATCATTATTTAGTCATCAGAAGTAAGAGAGACTGAAGGGATTCCACCAGTCACCATTCACCAACAAGAGGCTCCAACGGGAAACGGGTTTATTCCCAGTCAATCTCTGACATTTTCACAAACAGTCTATGGGTTCCCTTGACTGGCACTAGCTCAAAATGATTCAAACCCCAAAATGAATCTCCACGGCGATTCGGTGGGGATGCTCCACAATTATTTGCACCTATATAAGAATCCAAGAACGAACATGAACAAACTATACAGTATAGATCAGTATAGTATAGCTGACTAATATTTGGATACAGGACTTTCGCACCCAGAATTCTTCCAACCAAAAGAGTAGGCTGACCAAAACTGGATTGGCTAAATGAAACAGCAAAAGATGCTTTACACGCCCTCGGTAGAGTGGCGCCGCCTCACCCCAACCAAGCTGACATAGACTAATTACTTGGCGGAGGCTGCTATTCTCCGAAGAGGTCCTTTTTAAACACCAAGAGTCACCGGCCATACTCGGACATCAGCCTACGGGCTTACTGCGTAAATACAAAGAAAAACGCTGCTCCCTGAGAGTTTCTTTCGGTATGCACAAATCCATGTTTTTTTTATTTGAAAACTCGAAGCCTCGAAGCCAATGGCAAGCTGCGCACCTTCATTGGCGCTTGGGAAAAAATAGCTGACTAATTAACCCACATTGTACAATATTTTTGCGGCCGGTTACAACGGTTAGGACGATTCAGGACCATTCACCATTTGTCGTTTGTCCCTTTTGCCACCCAGGAGGTTCCTCTGCAAGACGAGGCCTTCAGTTTCCCAAGATGTTGTGATCGAAGATATACCCAGATTGTTTGACAGGAAAAAAACATATCGAACACAATTTTTTACAGTTGTGACATGTTGTGGCCGACAAAATCAGATCCACCCTCCACATCTTCCTATCCCACACTTTAGCAGGCTTAAAGTCATGCAAGTGTCACAGAGTCCTGCACTTCCCATATATACTTGGACACGCCTCGAGGCAGTGGCTTCGGTTTTGTCGGTCTTCCATTGGACATGGCCAGACCTCTGGGTTCCATTGGGTTCCATCGTTGTTTATCCCCTCCATCGATCGCCGGCAGCATCTTCCTACGGTGGCCTACTGTCGACATCAACTCTTCAACCTTCTGCTAGAGCTTCGTGAACAAGTTCTTCAGGCACGGTCAGGTCTCGTGAAGTGGCTCCCATAAGATCCCATAAACATATTGATAAAAACATTGCAAGACATGGAGTACTTTATCATACTTTATCTAAGATACTATTTTTGATGGGTACTTTCAGGGGCTGGACGGGTCAGAGTCCGTTATTTGGCCAAGTTTTCAGTGAACGTCCCTTTTGCGCGTTCACATTCCTATGTTTGATGGGTTTTCCACAACTAGAATCAAACAGGGGGTTGGTACTCCTCAAATTTTCCCGCGCTGCTCAGACATTGAATGGCTATGTTTGGGACCTTGAACCATTCAACATTAACTAGGGACCCAATAATAACTTGACCCCGCCCAGACCAATAGTTTAGGTTGGAACAAGAATATGCTGCCTCCCCAACAAATGGATGACCAGGACACCTGCTTTTGCTGAGCCTGTGATGTATCATTTCTCCCGTTGTTCATCCACCATTTGGAAACCTTCCGGGAAGATGTTTTATGCCTTGGGTGGCCCAAAGCTGGCGAATCCAAGAATGTTCAGTATCCCAATTTTGTTGGTTTTTATCCTCATATTATATATCTACATCCCGATGATATTGCCATTTCACGGGACATGATTCTTCCTTCTTCCCCTTTCCGTCTGTGAGTAAATCTGGGTTTGTTTGCACATTGTAGCAACCCCCAAAATCCTACCAGGTTTGAAAGCTCTTCAATATATGTTCCCTATTCGAATGACCATTAAATCCATGTGCAAATGCACCAGAAAACCTGGGTCCAAACAGCCAGGAACTGGAAAGGGGTACCCGCACCCAATTCATCAGCTTTCATTGGGGCTTGGGACAGGTGGGCGGAAGGGCACTGTCCAGGAAGTGGGCTGTGATGATCATTGATGATCCCCAGAACAGTACCAACATCCATCGGGGGGGGTGTTTCAACCACCAACCAACACAACAAACATGGAAATTGAGCCAACAAAATCAACAAACATACACATGTAAGAAATCCATAGAGGAATGCAACCAATAGTTTGTGGGGATATGATGGCTGAACGATGAGAACACAACTGGATACATCCAACTGACTGATGGATGTTCTTTATCTTCGGAGACCCCATGGGGCTGCTTCAAACAGGGTGGCTTCACGAGGGGTCGAGAGGTTAAAGGAAAAACATAGCCCTGAGGCAAACTGTTTCCTTCTCACTGATGGCACACTCAGGAGCATCTAGGCTTTTCTAGAATGTTCTAGTTTTTTTCAAGCTGTCTCTAATTTTTTCAAGCTGTCTCTAGTTTTTTCTAGGTCAATCTAATTTTTGCTGGTTCCCCTGTAGCTAGGACGAGAAGTGGGAAGGGGCAAGCCTGGTTCTCAATTTTTTCCACGAAGGGTTTCGCCCGGGAAAAAAGAATACGTATTCTTTAGGACTATTTTGTTCTGTTTAGTGTTCTCTAGCTTTTGCTGGTTTCCATCGTGGGGTATCATTTTCTGAAGCAGCCCTCTTTGAAACAATACCAGATGTGCCGCAATGACTTTAGATTGTGAATTGTTAAATGAGCACCTTCATTCAGTGAAGGATCTAAGAATTTCCTTCTGGTGTACGTTGCAACCCAGCAGTTGGTGGAAATCCTAAAGCCTACAGCAAATACAGTACTGTTCTACGCAATTCGCAGTGTTCACTGGGGCACTTTGTGGCTGACCCAGCGGAGGGGTCCAACTTTGCTCATCTCCGAATCTCTATGGCAATTTGGCCCAAGGCACCTCTCAGTGTCTCACAGCAAGGCCCATGTTTTCCAATGGCCTGAGAACTAACATGGAAACATGCTACCAGAATAGCAAGTTTTGGCCATATAGGAAGTTATTTATTCTTCCAAACTTCTTTCACGGGGGTTACGATGTTCCATGTCGTGGGGGATTCTTCATTGCAGTATTCCTTCAATTGTTGGTCGTGAAGGCGTGGCAACACCACGCCAGTGCCTGCCTTTTCTTTCCCCTGCCATCTTTTGGCAGGATCTCAGCATGCTGAAAATCATACCATATTCATTTTTACGCTTCTTGGTGCATTTCTTTTCATCCCATTTACTGCTATGTAAATATATGTAAATGAGGTATCTTGACAATGACTCATTAATATGCAATTTCTGCTAGATGTTTTTCCCATAAAAAAACCTCCATTTAGTTCAGGGATCAGCAACCACCAGCCATGCAGCCGAGTTCGGCTTCTCGCAGTCGACCGCAAACCGCTGGATCAAGACCACGGAGTTCCAATGTCCAGGCTCCAATATCGGTATTGCATCGGTTATTGGTTGAATATCTATAACCAATAACCATTTTGCCATTTTGGAATATTGGTGTTTACACTGGTTGAATTGGTTGAAAAAGAATATTTATATTTTGGTGATTGTTTGAATCTTATGGTTATTGAGTATCACACTGGTTCCATCCCATTTTAAAGGGGAAATCGTGTCGGGACATCGGTCACGCCAAATCTCGTGTTGAAGATCATGGAGTAAGCCCGGCGGGTTGTTTGGGGGACAACTTGATGTTATGTTTACATATGTTTACCACATAGCAAAGAAATGCGAGCACATGGTAAAACATGTGGTAAAACCATAGTTGATACAGTAAATGTTGATACTGATTGTTTTCTTCCATCCCCACTGTTGTTGATGAAGTTCAGTTCTTGCTGACACTTGTAGTATCACCCTACCAGGATCAATCGATGGGTTGAATCTGGATTGGGACATGGCGATTACCAAATTATTGTTGGCCAATAACAAACCTGGTTTTCAGTTTGCAGCCCCGTCTTTTTCGGCCTCAAATTGACTGTGATTATACCATCTAAATGTTCCAGCCCTTTCAAAAGCCACATCAACACTTCGATCAAAAACATGCGTGTCCAAAATGTTCAACCAAATCCCATTCAAATCCCAGAATTTTAAGGATTCATGGTCATTTCCCATCATTTTCCCCCATTAAAACAGATCCATTGGGGCATGTTCAGCTCAGGCCTTCCAGCGCGGCAAGGATGCAGCCCAACTGGATGCCCTGGAGATGTGTCGTTCGGGCCTGACGCAGGTGCGGTTTGACCGGTGCGACCCCGGGACATCGCGGGACCCCCATGACTTCGGAAAACCCATGGAAAACCCCCATATGACTAAGGCCCATATATGATAGTATAGTTTTTTTGGGGGATACAATGACTTAGAATGGGGATATAGTATAATATAATATGTATTAATATATATATATATACGATATAGTAGTGGGGATATAATGAGATTCTACGAAAACCACTACGTGGATGTAATGGATTCAAAGTGGATGGGTTTCGACTCGGGAACACTAATCATGTGATGAATTTCTGAAGCTCCCTTGAGCCGAAAAAGAACATGATACCTACCCACTGCAGGCAACTTCTCGGACCCCGAAGCCTGACTATGATGCTGAAAGATATTGGCTGCAAGAACACCCATCAACAAGGGACTGTGTATCTTCTGGTTATTTAATAGTTTGCTACTGGGAAATCACCATTTTTAATAGCTAAGTCCAAGTCATCTACACATCTACAAATGGACCATTTTCGGTAGCACAGGATCCAAATTTGAGGCGTACCACCCTGAATGTATGGGCACCGACGGGTGATGGGGCAACTTTTGGAGCTTGTGTAGATGATCTTAGAGGTCGATTTTTTCGAACCCGGCCTTCCCTCTACTCCCACATTGACTGGACACATCTGCCAGAACCACATTTTATGTGCAAGTTGGTAGCAGAAGATACCAGAACACTGGCATTCAACATGTATCACCCCTCGTGGACTAGACAAATTCCGTTCCAGAGAACTTCTGTGACTAGGTGAGCGCCCAGCTGTTGTCCAAGTTCCAAAGCGAACTTCAGCAGTTGGGAAGCGCTTTGGAACACCAGGCGCCCAGGGCGGTATTCATATTCCTTAGTAGATGGAGAGCCAAGGAGCTTAGACTTTCCCAACCAGATGATAGAGTATGGCAGTTGGTTGTTGATCAATGTTGGTTGATGTGGTTATAGGTATGAACATTGATTGGCTATCCCCATAACTATAACATACTATAACATACTCTAACCACATAAAAAACCAACAATTATCAACAATAACCAATGGTGTGATGCTGTAGGATATCTATCACTTTTCGAGTCCACTGTTGGCCGAATCCAGGTGCTGATGGCCATTGAATCACAGCTACAGATGCTTGGCCAGTACCAGGAAGCACCTGGAGGTTGCTTTACCCATGAAAACTTCATTTGCTTTGCCACATAGTTTACCTATTAGCTGGCCAATAAAAAAGCAGGGACGCTGAAAAGCGGAGAAGAGAGGTAAAGTCGCAACGTTTGCATACTTGTGTGTTCCAACATCTGCAATGGGCCTGTTGGAAAAAAGTTTGTGATGTTTGTAGTGCTTCTCGTCCGAAGCAACAGCATCGTGGTTATGTGTCCTCAAGATGACACAGAACGTGTTCTGTCACAAAGACATTTCGTTGGCCAAACTGGATCTATTTTCCATCGAGGAAGTCAGAAGAGAAGTTCGACTCCATCCTGCAAGCCTTGAGAAGAAGTGACTTGGGTGATTTTTGGTGATGCCTTCAGAAGAATTTGCGCAATGAATCCCAGTCTACTCTTTCAAGGTCTTCGTTCGGGAGCATATTATAATATATTATAATATTTAACAATATATATATATGGATATATTATACTTGTATTAAATGTGTTATCTCTCTATATATATATATTTATATCTATATATTTATCTATCTATCTATCTATCTGTCTGTCTGTCTGTCTGTCTGTCTGTTTGTCTATCGATCCTATCCTATCCTATCCAAGCTAATCTATCTATCCATCCATCCATCCATCTATCTATCTTTCTATCTATCTTTCTATCTATCTTTCTATCTATCTATATCTATATCTATATCTATATCTATATCTCTATCTATCTATCTATCTATCTATCTATCTTTATATATCTATACATTTATATCTATACATTTATATCTTTACATTTATATCGATACATTTACATCTTTACATTTATATCTTTACATTTATATCTTTACATTTATATCTATCTTTCTTTCTTTTCTCTTATATATATATATATGTATGTATATTTACAGTGAAGCACCTTCTCATTTGGATCCATAGAACGCTGCAGCTTCTGGACCAGGTGAGATTGGACGTGGCCGCAGCGAGAGCCCGAAGCAAAGCTACTTTGCAGGCAGGGCGGAATCGCAGCCCATGTCTGGCAAGGCATTGGGGGATGGTTTCTTATTGGGTTTACCGTGGGTTTACCATGGGTTTACCAGGTTTACCAGATAGTATTCAAGCATGACCAAATTATATTAGTGGGTCTCCATGGTTGAGCTCGCCATTGCTATTTTTCGCTGGGAATGCTCCATTTCCAAGTAGACAGTCAAATACCCTGAGGTTGGCCATTATTTTCCCATGAAAATGCCACGAATCTGGGCTATATCATCTTCCAAGAGTGGTCGTCGCTGGGCCTAGGTCTGGCCTATGACTGCGGGCAGATCGAGGCCAATCGGAAGCTGGTGAAGCGTCGCGAGGAACAGATCAACCAGATGCTGGTGGTGCTGGAAAAGCTCGTGGCTTGGTGGTGAGTTCTTTGGATTAAAGCAATTGGGATGTGACGTACGCTATTCTCAATATATATCATTAGTTATCATTATATATATATTATATAGATATATATTACGTATATATATATATATAAATACGTAAATCTATATAGTATATAATATATGTCTAGTGTCATGTTGGGGGATATATATATACATATGATGATAATGAATCGATCGCAGCTGCAATCAGTCGATGGAGGACGATTTGGGTTTATCCAGGAAGGTCGATATACACCCACTTCGTGGCAATCTTAATGGGGTATAGTCATGACCAATGAGCAGATTTCGGGTACCCTATGTTCAGACGGACCCGTTTGGGTATGGGTCCAAATGATTGGACTGCAAAACTGAATGTTGAAAACAAAAACTGAAAATGAGCAACATTTGGCCACTTAAGGATGTGATCGGGACCCTCTTGTGATTTGTTGAGATGGGCTTATTGACAGTTAGTCCCTTGGAGAAGCACAAGATAGAATTGACTACTTCAATGGTTGCAGTCGGGGCTGTAGCTTAAGAGATTGCATGAAGGTTCTCGTTCCTTCTCAATTGTATAGAATCCCCAGAGACAACACCACACAAGGAAGAGGACCCTTGACTCGGAACCCTGCATATACTGTATATGCAACATTATGCGATTATATATATATAATTATATATATATATATCAATGAATGAGAGCATGAAACATGCTATATCACCTTCACCCTTTTATGGGTCTGTCTCAGATGAACCCATCCTTTGAGCAAGACCTCATATGAGCAAGAACTTGAGCCTATTGTGAATATTGTGGGCAAATCATATCCACCTGTGGTTGTGTGTCAGTTTACCCTGTTACCTTTGGGTTTACACAAAAAAGGCTGGTGGTTATTGATGCAAATCCCCTCGTTCTGCTGGAAATTCACAGGTTTTAACCTGTGGAAACTCTGCATCCAAATGTCTGCCACCTGAACACACCGCGGTCATTCGACTCAAGTTCCACCTGGACAAGGGTGCAGCTGGCAAAGCCCGGTATGTGGCCCTGAAAGGAACAGCTGATGTCGATGGGCGGTTATGCAGGGCCAAGTCGTGGATCAGATTCAATGGACCTTTTGTACAATGCTTGAATGGTGAAGGATGCATATTGAAGCTCAGTGGTTCCTGTACTGGTCAGGAAGCGTACCAGAGGATTTCAAAGCATCACCTCGACAGACCGCTGATGCTGCACAAGGCATTGCATGAGCAAGGCATTGTGGGCAAGGCTGCAACACTCTCTTGCACTTATGTTCCAACAGACCTCTATGCTGCATGGTGTGCTATCCAAGTTTTACCAGTCTCTCAGGAAGAGCTTGCATTAGAGGGAGTGACACAGATAGCAGGTGCACCAAACGCAGAGTATTTAAAACATCTCCCACAAACCCTTGAGCACATGACGTTTAAGGATGAATTTAACCAAGACCTGAAACCAGTGAAGCTGTCAAGAAATCTTCAGACCTTGACATTTGGCAGTGACTTTGATAGGAGCCTGGAACAAGTGACGGTGCCAAGCAGTCTTCAGACCTTGACATTTGGGACACAGTTTACCCGATGCTTGGATCGAGTGACTCTGCCAAGCAGTCTTCAGGCCTTGACATTTGGCAGTGGCTTTAATCGGTTGCTTTGGAAAGCCCGCGTGCCGAATTGGAGAGAACCATCTACCCATCCGAGTGAATTCGTGCACGCACCAATGTCGATCAAATTTTCGGCATAATGCATCAGGATGGTCTTCCGAAGCGTGCGATGCGCACAGCGCGAAGGCTGTTCTTTGTTTATTATGCTGATCCTGGTGGCCACTGTTGTCGCACGCGGGCCGACAGAATCTTCTGCAAGAACTGGACGGCGCACAGGCGCAATAAATTTTTAAAGGAATTCGGCCACTATCTGCCCTTGCCAATCCTCTTGCTGGCTCGACGCCTGAGGACGCAGAAGCGCTGGCACAGATTTTGCATGGACTGGGATTATCGGCGAAGCCCGAAGAAATTGCTTAAGTCTTACCCTCGCGAATATCGAGGTAAGCTTAAAGCCCTGGTCGCTGACATTCGAACTCTCGATCCTGAGGTTTGGCACAGGGATTGGAATTTGAAGAGAAGGCACGAACTTGCATTCGAATACGGTCGCTTTTTGACTAGGAAGCAAGTTCAGCGCCTTCTAGCCTGCCCTGAGCATCCAAGATCCAGCAAATAGAGTCAATGATTAGAAATCATCGGTTTGATTATTATACAATCATCAGTTTTTCATGGAGCGATGAATCACTATAGTAGTGTTCAACGTTTATGCGCTGTTGATCGTGGACGTTGCGCTGGAAGCAGAGCCTGGAAAGAGTGACGGTACCAACAGTCTCCAGACCTTAACATTTGGCAGTGCATTCAATCAGAGCCTGGAAAGTGTGACCCTGCCACGTAGTCTTCAAAACTTAACATTTGGCAGCGAATTGAACAGAACTTGGAAAGAGTAACGCTGCCCAGCGGTCTTCAGACTTTAACATTTGGCAGCACATTCAATCAGAGCCTGGAATGCGTGACGCTGCCGCCAAGTCTTCAAGACTTGACATTTGGCACTGAATTTAATCAGAGCCTGGAACGAGCGCCTCTGCCAAGCAGTCTTCAGACCTTGACATTTGGCAGTGACTTTGATCGGAGCCTGGAACAAGTGACGCTGCCAAGCAGTCTTCAGACCTTGACATTTGGCACTAGGTTTAACCGAAGCCTGGAACGAGTGACTCTGCCACGCTTTCTCCAAAACTTGACATTTGGCAGCTGTTTCAATGAGAGCTTGGCAGTGTTTCCAAGCAGTCTGCAGACCTTGACATTTGCTGATAGATTTAACCAAAGCCTGGAAGGAGTGACGCTCCCAGCAGCCTTCAGACATTAACATTTGGCAGCTGCAACCGCAATTGGGCCGGATTGATTCTGCCAAACTCTCTTCAAAATTTTAGGTGTGACAGGGTCTTGGTGAGCATATGTGAGCATCGCGTGGTTTGCTTTTTTAAAAAAGTGCTGAACTGAACGCACGCTCTATCACGCTCTACCTGGCTGAAAGAGCTTCAAAATGGACAAAATGCGGATTAAACATGGCCATTTGAGGTTTTGTACCTGGAGCATTCAAGATCACCTGTGATTACAAAGGATCGGATAAGATGATAAGATATCTGACTCCAGCATTTTGCCATTCAACATCATTCAACGTTCAACGTCATTCAACGTCATTCAACATCCAAATCTGTCCAAATCTGGTTCTTTCATATTTTGGTCACGGATTTGCGTGGTGATTTTCAATTATCTTCACTAGGGAAGCAGTGACTCAAAACAGCCAGAGCATCCTCCAGGAACAGAGCAGTACGACGGTGGAAAATTACACCCGGGCATTGGAGGGGAACGTGGAACGAACTGCCGAAGCTGGGCTGAAAAAAAATGATGACCTGAAAAAGGGAGTTCCAGGTTGTTTTCTGTTTTTTTTGATAGTATCAGATAGTATATATCCATTCGTACGAACTGAATAGGAAAAAAATCTGAAGGACATTCACCAAAAAGAATGCAGATTCAAAGGAGCATCATAACATCATTTGTAGATGAAGGATTATTTGTTGACAGATAAGATTGCCAAAGGACAGATATTTCTTTTTGGACAGCCTGGATACATTTTTTTGCAAAGCTGTGGTGAAGCTCTACACAAGTACAACGTTGACGGAGCAACGACCTTTGGGGTCCATAGCTATAAAGGATATACCGATATACAGTAGGTAAACAGGGATACACTATCTGATTTGAATGGCACGCCCTTCTTGACATGATGGGAATCATTCTGAATTGATGCTGAATACGGATCATTTATGGTCATTTCCAACCTTTGATAGCCTATTGTGGGAACCTCACCAGTGGATGCCAGAGATATCCACTTATTTGGTTTCTGAATAACGACTGCATATTGACCATGCGGCAAAACAAAATCGGGTTTACGAAACCACTGATCGACTGACAAGAAAAATGACTTAAGGCACAACCAAAACTCGTTTTAGATGTTTTAGTATGTTTTATTATTGTGAAATTCCACAATTTGGGTCATTCTCAGAATCCCTCCGAATGCATCTCATGCGAAGATATCTTCGGATCTTTTCCTTTGATCCGTCCCATTTTCGCCCCCTGAATTTGCGTGCCACGTGCCCTGAATCCACCAGCTTGGATGGAAGTCTTCCCTTGGTTCAGAGGCAAATGATGCAGGAAACCAATGGAAACCACCAGTCTTTGGAATATTTTTTGGAAATTCTGAATTGCCGAAGAATCATGCCTACCATCCACCTTGTGACTCAGCTCACAGCGACAAGCGGGCCGTTTTTTTAATTTGGGTCACAACAAGCCGGCAGATGTCTCTAAGGCGAAGGTAGACATGTTGGCCACCTGATCGCAAACTGAGAACATGGTGGGTTTGTTGGTCACAGGATGTTGCATGAACGGCACCAAAAAGTGAGGGAGCGGTTTGAGTCTCCAAAGCCCTGAACAATCCTGCATTTTCAGAATGGTAAAACTGCCTCGTGAACCCGCATTTGCTGGCTTATTCCCTGGAATTGACCATCCATTTTTCTGGCGTATTTCTGGGGTCAATCAGAATCAATCAGATACCTATCATATCCTTTGCACCATTTTCTCTGTATATTACAACCAGCGATTGAAACTTGCAGTGGAGAGGTTGAGAATCTGCAGACTGAGTCGTTTACAACTATAACTAAGCCAGGGAAACTGCAGCACTGCAACCCCAAAGAGAGCCGACCAACTGATCCTTTCAGGGTCAGTCAGGGAACAATTTGACTCAAATGTGCCAGGAGAATGTCCCGACTCAAAAGATGCTTTGAAAAATCCTTGCAGTCCAGCAACCCATTCTTGCTCAAGTATCTTCTTGTATTTTGTTGATGAGATTTTGTTTTTTTTTGGGTGGGTTATTTAAGTTGCCCCCCTCTTTTCCCACACTTGGCTGGTGGAATCCTCCGAGGATTCCTATGTCCGGACCACTCTGGCGAAGGAAGGGGACCCGGTGGTGAGTCCCAGAACCCCCCGCAGTCAGAAGCTCGAACGCTCGGAGACACTTGGACCCAGTTTCAGTTGAGATGGGCAGATGGGGTCAATTTTTGTGGCCGCTTTCGAGGTTTGTTGGTTGATGAATGTTGATGATATATGCTAATAATTGTTAATTAATATACCAGTAGTACCGCACAAGGCGGTGGCGGAAGTTTCAAAAATAGGAAGGAGAGGTTGGTTGTTGTGAATCAGGGATGGCAGAGCGAAGCCACTGATGGACCGAAAGGTGCTTGAGGTCTCCTTTCTTTCGCTCTCTTTCTCTGACTATCTACCTACCTACCTATCTATTTTCTATGTATCTATCAATCTATCGATCTATCTATCTATCTCTCTCTTTCTTTCATTCAATTACCCAATCTATCTATCTATCTATCTATCTATCTATCTATTTCCAAAAGTGGTCCGAGCATGGTGTGTTTTGTACATTTTGACTTCGAAATGTGCTTCGCGCCACAACGGCGTGCACTTTTTCGACATCTCAACTTCCAAAAGTGGTCCGAATGGTGTGTTTTGTACATTTTGACTTGGAAATGTGCTTCGCGCCACAACGGCGTGCACTTTTTCGACATCGCAACTTCCAAAAGTGGTCTGTGTTTTGTACATTTTGACTTGAAATGTGCTTCGCGCCACAACGGCGTGCACTTTTTCGACATCGCAACTTCCAAAAGTGGTCCGACTTGTACATTTGACTTCGAAATGTGCTTCGCGCCACAACGGCGTGCACTTTTTCGACATCTCAACTTCCAAAAGTGGTCCGAAATGGTGTTTTTGTACATTTTGACTTGGAAATGTGCTTCGCGCCACAACGGCGTGCACTTTTTCGACATCTCAACTTCCAAAAGTGGTCCGGGCTGTGTTTTGTACATTTTGACTTGGAAATGTGCTTCGCGCCACAACGGCGTGCACTTTTTCGACATCTCAACTTCCAAAAGTGGTCCGGCATGGTGTGTTTTGTACATTTTGACTTGGAAATGTGCTTCGCGCCACAACGGCGTGCACTTTTTCAACATCGCAACTTCCAAAAGTGGTCCGAGCATGGTGTGTTTTGTACATTTTGACTTCGAAATGTGCTTCGCGCCACAACGGCGTGCACTTTTTCGACATCTCAACTTCCAAAAGTGGTCCGAGAATGGTGTGTTTTGTACATTTTGACTTCGAAATGTGCTTCGCGCCACAACGGCGTGCACTTTTTCGACATCTCAACTTCCAAAAGTGGTCCGAATGGTGTGTTTTGTACATTTTGACTTGGAAATGTGCTTCGCGCCACAACGGCGTGCACTTTTTCGACATCTCAACTTCCAAAAGTGGTCCAGAATGGTGTGTTTTGTACATTTTGACTTGGAAATGTGCTTCGCGCCACAACGGCGTACACTTTTTCAACATCTCAACTTCCAAAAGTGTTCCGGAGCTGAGGTGTTTTGTACCTTTTTCAACATCTCAACTTCCAAAAGTGGTCCGGAGCTGAGGTGTTTTGTACATTTTGACTTGGAAATGTGCTTCGCGCCACAACGGCGTGCAATTTTTCATCTCTCGTCTGGCCAGCTGGCTCCGCACCCGCCGCTTTAGCGAGCCTACTTTTCGACCCTCCGGAGCCTCAAATCATTGGAAAAACACAGTGTTTCGCGACTTTCCTCTTCTTTCTTCTGACTCTTTCTCTTCTGATCTTCTCTCTTCTAATCTTTCTCTTCTCTCTGCCTCTTCCCTGCTCTGCTTTTCATCTGCCCATATTGTCGGAAGTTTGACTTCTAAACTTCCTTCGATGATGATTTTGATATATTTTGATGATGTTGACGGTTTGATGCTGATATTGCATTCCAAAAAGGGACTATTGACTATTGATGGATCTGGAACTTGACTTCTCAATGGCATAGTTCGAGAGTTTGGATGAGAAGAAGAGAGCTAGGATAGGGGAACTAACAGCATTAACGATGAACATGACAAGCATAATGATCACTCGTTCGTATTTTCCAACATGTCCGATTTAAATTTGTTTTCCCATGCTAAAAATACAAAACATATCTAATATGTTTTGAACATCCCATGTAATTTCACCAGGTGATCACCATCCCCATTGCAGTTGGGATATATATAAGATGGGATGACGATCAAACTTGACCTTCGTATGAGTTTATTTGAACATGCAGTCATCATATTCATCATTTTTAGACACCCCCAACGCTACCCTCTGGAAATTCAACATAAGTAGGGGAAACCACATAAACTCACCATTGTTCATGGGTAAATAAATGTAATAGTCTATATACATGGGCTATTTTCATCTATTTTCTATAGCTTTGTTAGCTTACCCGGTCATATATTGGGGCAGGTCTCAGCAGTTCATGAAGAAGTCAGACATCATGGCTCTGCAACAGCAGCTTGGCATTGAAAACTGGGGATTCAACCAAGAAACATGATTTTTACAGATAAACATGGGTATGTTTGACCAAACATATGGTGAGTTAATATGATTTAATCTAAAGAAATGGATAACAACAGTGATTCAAACAACACAAGTGGATATGTTTGCGCACCATCAATGTGAATCTACCTTTAAATTTTTTTAAAGGTAATCCAAAGTGGCACTGAGCAACCCTCAGTTTCAATGAGAATCACGGGTTGAAACCACCAACCGTTTCAACCGTTGCAAGTTTTGAGTCCTGATCGAGTCCTGCCCTGGAATTTCATGAAATACAAACAGAATCTTTGAAATCGTTGAAATCCACATTTATCCAATGTTATCCATATTAGATGATATTAGATGATATTAATGTGGATTAATGTTATCCATATTAATCAATTTTAATCCATACTGATATCCACATATTATCCACATTAATCCACTGAATCAAAGTTGATTCAAACTTGGCAATTTCTTGGGACCCTGCTGAATTCGGTCATTTCGCTGAGTCCACCGTGGTTTCTTGGTGGCGTAGGGTGGCGTCATGCCTGTTGTGTACTCAGCGTAATAAATCAGAAAAAAAAACATTTAAAGCATAGATGAAAAATGATGAACATAGATCCATGCCGATTTTGTACCATGTTGTGCCATGTTCATCCATTTTCTGAAATTTACGGCTTTTTATTTGCACAGACTTGTAAATGTCTTCAGTTTTAGGCACATCTGAACGGTCTCAGGCAGTTGGCGCATGAAACTGAGCACGATGTGGATGAACTCTACAAGGCACCACATGGTAAAACATGACCAGATTGGCAGATTGTGGCCGATGTGAGTAGAGCTGGTACATTTGGATTAAATTGTGATGATCTATTAACTGGTGTTTGGTAAGCTTGGAATTGTATCCCTAGATATCCCTAGATTAATTGGATATGGGGATATTTTTCGGATCCAAATAATCCTCGTATATCCTCGTTTATATGTATACATTATTAACTTCAGATAGCATCCCAGTATTTCATCTTCGCACCAGGGGGAAAATAATCAGGAATTTACCTGCAAGAAAGGAATGCATCATCGTCCTTACATTCTCCATTCAAGTAGTCAGAACAACTTGGTTTTCTGGAATTTAGCTTCAGCACTTCTCGCAATCTTTTTGTTCACATCTTTCAAGTAGGAGAAACTGGCTGTGATTCCCGTGACATGGGTTTGTCTGAGATTTTGGCACCCCAAAGTTTGCTGGTTTATCATCATATTCATCATTTTCCCTTTAAAAAAAGCTATTTTATGGGTAAATCAGGTAAAATCCCCATTTTCAGACACCAGCTTTGCTCAAAAAAGTTGGCCAGGTTGATCAGGTCTACCTCGGAAGATTCTTTTCCTTGGCAACTTTTTGGCGTCAAAATCCGAGTACCGAAAAACAGTGAACCTCATTGATCCGAACATGATCCATGGTCAATGGGAGATCTCCAGGATCCTAAAATGGAGGTACGTTAGTACCATATTTCAGGCCAAATTTTGTGGGGATATTCCCTTACATAGGCCTTACATAGGCCTTATATATGGTAGGTACCTCCAATTTAGGATCCTGAAATGGCCATTGACATGTTCCATGGTCAGGAGATTGAAACCTCCAGAAAGCTTGCGAGCAACAACTTTCGCGCCATGATCAAGGAGCCTCACTGAATGCGGTGACCGATCCTTTTTGTATTGAAACCCATGACTTGGGGATCCCTCGTTTCAAGAAACTCCCTTGTGAGCGTGGTCGAGCTGTGACCCAAGCCATGGTTGACTAGGTACAGTATCATAAGCTAAATATAATCTAATAGGCTAATGATAGGTTTTTGTTAACCAACCTGGTTTATTAGGGATTATGAACTCACCCACGGGACTTCTGTTTTCAGCCAACCGTTATACAATCCATGATGAGGCTCAGTTGACAATGGTTGGCTCAAAAGTGGGATCTCCAGAACCAAACCGTACGGTACGGTGACCCTGGTGTCACAGTCGGGCATCCTGGTTGGCTGCTGTTGTCTAATCATGTTTTGCACATTGCTTGGTTAGGTTGCATCATCATTTGTGAAGTAGATCCCCAACTGGTTTTCTGAGGAATTTCTGACATAGCTTCGACCCTCCTTGTGTTTGGAGGCTTTGCTTCGTTTGGCTTGGGTCGATCTGGCATTATTCATAGCAGTTGGGACGACAAGAGCATGACTCTTCACCAAGCGTGTTCCCCACCTGCCAGGTGAGGGTCTCTAGACTCTAGATTTCAACAGAGGTGCAACTCCTTCTTCCTCATCCTCCACCTCCTCCGCCTCCGCCTCCTTCTTCTGCCAGCTCGTCGGGACTGTGAGCATGAACGGATCCTCCGGATGCAGTTGGCCACGCCTGCACCGGAACCTTATCGCCGGCTCCGGATGCAGTGGGTAGGCCTGGTGTCGCCCGCTCCTGACGCAGTGGGCCACGGCTGGACCCAAACCCTATCGCCAGCTCCGGATGCCGTGGGCCACGCCTGGACCCGAACCCATGCCGGAGAGAATGCCAGACAGAATGCCAGATAGAATGCCAGACAGAATGTCAGAATATATATGCCAGATAGAATGCCAGACAGAATGTCAGAAAATATGAAAGATAGAATGCCAGAAAGATTGCCAGACAGAATGTTAGAGTAATATGCCAGAGAGAATGTCAGATAGAATTCTGAATGTACATGCCATAGATACTTCCAGATGATACGTCAGGAACTTTGTCAGAATAGAGTGTCAGGGTGGGGATCACTCGAAGTAAAGTAATTGGTGTCATTTCTAAAATCATTTTTAAATCCATTTTTTCTCAAAAAGTTCAGAGTCCCAAGCCTTGACTGACGGGGAATTCCACAGGAGGTTAGCCGCATCCAACAAGCTTTGAACCTGGACTTTGTGGTCGCCTCTGATTCTGATGAGTCGGAAAATTCCAGTGGACTAGGTACCTGGGTACCACCTCATTGCGGTGAATGGTGAAAATGGCCGTGGTGAATGGTTGGTTGGTTATTGACTTATGACGAATTATGTATTTTTGTTTTGTTTATCGGTTCTTTTGGATAAATATAATGTCGCGCTAAACAATTAGTTAAGGGGAATCAGGGGTCCTTTGACCCCATCACTGACACCAACAGAAATTTGACTGGAAATCGAGCTACACGATCTCAGTAATTAGTCCCGGGGACCCTACCAGGGTGAAAAAACATGGACAGTGCCTCCTGCTGAAATAAACCTCGAACATGGCGGATGACTTGCCAGGGTACCTGTGTTGTGTTGGTTGATTGGTTTGTTTTTCTGCCAAGACTGCAAGGTGCCAAGTTGAAACCAGCGATTCGGACCAGCAGAAACCAGCATCAGCATCATAACATATCATAACATTCTGGTTGGTGGTTTCAAACATTTGTTATTTTCCAAAATATATGGGATAATCCTTCCCATTGACTAATATTTTTCGAGGGGTTGAAACCACCAACCAGCATTGCTTGGAGAATTTGATTTAATTTGCATCAGCATCATAACATATCATAACTTTGCTTGGGGAATTTGATATAATTTGCATCAACATCATAACATATTTAACATATCATAACTTTGCTTGGGGAATTCGATATAATTTGCATCAGCATCATAACATATCATAACTTTGCTTGGGGAATTCGATATAATTTGCATCAGCATCATAACATATCATAACTTTGCTTGGATCATTTGCCAATCTGCCCAAGTTCGACAGCGCAGGCATGTCACGTCGGCCTTCCATTTCGCTTTCCGTCAGAGCAGTTGCTGGATCTGGACAAGTTTTTTTAACGGGGTCGATAGTCACACCACCAGCAGATCGTACCTTGTGAACTTGAGTCGTCTATCATGTCTAATTACCTATATGACCTATATGATATCCTATGATGATATCCTATGATGAATCTTAGTCCTATAGTCGTCATGCTTTCCTGAATTTGGTTTGTTGTTATCATATTGCAAGATGTTCCAAGGGATTTGAGGTTCCAGCGGATGTTCTAGGCCTAGGCATTTCCAGTCCTTTCAATTTATCGGGATTCCAGCAAACGATCGAAGACCTTTTCTTCTGGGAGGATCCGTTTGCCAAAACAGGGTTTACAAACTTATCCAGTCAATGGTACAGATGGGACGGGTATGGTATATCTATACATTTGCATCATTCTGTACCTACTACTGGCAACCATCAATATCCGAACCAATTTGTTTCTTCCAGGGGATGTACCACCGGCCTAGTAATATAGGCATTGCTGTAAGCCATTATGGGCACCCTTACACCTAGCCAGTCCTAAATATAGACAAAGGGTTCTGAGGACTGCTCAGTTGAGGCTGGTGGGCTTAACTCATGGGATGACACCAATGAAAAATCCATATTCAAAGAGCAGCAGGAAATAGGCCAAACAGTAAGAACTACCATTGGATGATATATATATATATACTGATTATATATATATACTATTATACATATTCAATTATTATATATACTATTATATATACTATAATATATACTATTATCTATACTATTATATATACTATTACATTATATATACACTATTATATATATATTTATACTATTGTATATACTATTATATGTACTTATATATACTATCATATTTACTATTATATATACTATTATATTTTCTAGTGTTTATACTTTTATATATACTATAAAACAATATATATATATAGACTATTTTATTTACATATATATATACTATTGTATGTACTATTATGTCACTTATGTATACTATTATATATATACTATTCTCTATACTTTATATCTATCATATATACTATTAAATATACTATTGTATATACCATTACATCTATACTACTATTATATATGCTATTACCTTTACTATATTATATATACTATATTAAACAGTATTATATTTACTATAATTTGTTTACGATTATATATGCTATATTATATATACTATTACATATGCTATTATATTTACTCTTATATAGACCATTACATCTATACTACTATTATAGTTATTACATATACTATTTTATATATACTATATTATACATACTATTATATTTACTATTATATATATACTATTATATATGCTATTATACACACAATTATAAATACTATTATATTTACCATTATATATATACAATTATATATACTATTATATATATACTATTTTTTGTACTATTACATATACTATTATATATATATTATTATATATACTACTATATATACTATTATATATATATACCCCTTACCATTTCCACTACTAAAAGGGTGAACACGTGCTGGGTACCATCCCATTTTGAGGATAGACATTGACTTCCAAAAATGAAGTCGTGCCTAAGATTTTTTAGTCAGCGATCATGCGCTGCTTCTTGTAGCGGCTTTTCATGGCTTTTCACTTGTCTAACTTAGCTCTTAAAAATCGGAACGGCATTTTGTAGTGATTTATGTTGGGATGCTTTGGGTCATACAAAAAAGCCTATAATCTGCTTTTGCGGGTCATGCTGAGTCACAGAAACTTATGGCATGCGGACCACCGGACCATTTTTGGCTCTTGACTCACGATCATTTCGTAGTAGGATGAACCCCCAAAAAATTGAAAAAACATGTTTTTTAATGTAGAGACTTTAACAAGGAAAAATGGGTCAGATTTGGTTTCGAAACCAATCAGTTGAAATTTAACTTGTGCGCTTAGATCGTTTTTGTTGCCCCATAGCTCTGACGATTGCAGTTCAAAATCTCTGCGCCGTGCTTTTGTCACACCTTTTTTGGCCATTACATTCACGCGATTATTAATTATAATCTATGTATTCCATTCTACTAGGTTCCTGCTCTTTTTGTCCAATAGGCAAGTTTCACCTAAGTTCAAAGAATCCATGCTCAGAGTTCCTTTCACCCACAAAGCACAGATTCGGTGCGTGATGTCCTAGTTTCTGGATAAGATTTGTTTTCTTGTACTTGAAAATAATGAATATTAGTAAGGACGACAAATAGTACACAAAGGTCTCTCCTACATATATATATATATACTGTATATATATATACTTACATACATACTATATGTATATATACAGTACTGTATATATAAATATATACACTATATATATATACTATATATATATAGACAGATTTTCATGGAAGTTTCTATTCATCAATATCTAGTGTTCGGTGTGTTCTTCCGAGGCTCCATCAAGTCCCGAGCGTTCCGGGACCCCAAGCGCCCTGGCCGTGGCACTGGACGTCCCCGTCGCGGCAGCGCCAGCGCCGGCCGCGCCGGCCGCGGAGGCCGCGGAGGCCCCGGTGACCACGGTGACCACGGTGGCAGAGGAGTCCAGGGGGTCCAGAGAGGTCGAGTTCAGGCCGGCGAGCTGTCACATGGTGTGATGGGTGGTATTTATTATAATATGGGGATATATGGGTAGATGATAATTATATCTTGATGGGTCACTACCTGGGGTACAAGTTTCGTGGATTGTAAGTAGGGTAAGTAGGGTGCAATGTCCAGTTTGAACTGGGGTTGTAACATGTCACCCACTTGCTAACTGGGATGAACCACCAAGTAGGCCCCAGCTAACATAAACCCTGCCAAATAGGCAAAATGCCAAACATATGTGAAATCACCAACCAGATCTTGTTGATGCATGCTTTGATGGCAAACTATATTAAACTCCCATTCTGATTCAGTGAGTTCAAGACTCGATTTCCCAGGTTTTTTCCGCAAAAGATGATGTTTAGGCCGTATCACCCTTTCCTCACACCATTTTTGAACTGACGATGGCCAGCACATGCAATGTGATTGAACCCCAGCTTTTGATTAAAGTGTACTATGAATTAATATTTGCAGGTATGTTTATTCACATCTAACATGTGTCCATAGTCTTCTACCTAGCGTACATATATATATATATATATCATATGCATATATTGGAATTCAAAGTGATATGGAAGAGTCAGCCACTACTCTTTTGGTGATTCTTGGTGGTTCACCAAATGATGCCCAAACGAGGCCTCGTTTGGCCACGCCAGAATTGAGTCGCGAGGAGTTCCGGGAACCAGAACATGTTTTTTATTTGACCAGCTGAATTCGGATTGAAAGCAACAAGACAGTTTTTTAAAGACACAATCCGGTAATTTAGCTTAGCAGTTTAAGAAGGCCCATCTAAAGATGATTTACCGGAGATTGATGATTTTCCACAACGATAGATCAACAGAGGGTGGATAGATAGACAGATAGATACCTTGATGTAGCAAAAGCTATGGTTTCCTCAAACTTCAACTAATGAACCGGGTCATAGGTTTACACAACTAGAAGAAAACAACATGATTTCCTCGGTGCAATAAAGACTTTGCATTTTCCAGCTCACCAACGCAGATTTCAATGACATGGATTGGATTTAAACATATTTAAACATACCAATCACCAGCAAGATGCAGATCACCTTTCAAGCCCTGCCACGTTGGATGGCACTGGAGAGTAATGTGCAATGCTCATCAATGCTCCTAGTCGGCCAACCATAAGCTGGGAGGTTGCACCATTCCGAAGACATCCCGAAGACCAGATTTCTCAACCAGTGGCCATAGGTTTGTGGACATGTTGCCCATACTTGTTTCAGTGGCCAGTTCAGCATGAAAAATGTTGCAGAGGTCTATACACCCTCGAGGAATGGACCAAAGATGGATACACATGTAGGACGTTGCGCTTGCCCCGCAATGCGTCGCCGATGGTGGCCATATTTGATCAGTTTTTTGTCGGCTAAATTGTCATTTTGTAGTTGGTTAAACCATCGCTCTTGTTTGTCAAAACCTATGTAAATTCATTTGTCCCTGACATTTCATGACATTTCCGTATTTTAACTGCAATCATTGTATTTTTCGAATCAAGTCCCTGTTGCAACAATTTGAAATCCAAGATGTTTCATCATTTGTACCCCCATATTTTTGACCAGTTATCTTCCGGCATATTTTTTAGTTTCTTCTGACTTCCCTATGAAATCCCCCAAGTGTTCCGAATGTTTGCCCAAATTTCTCATATGTTCCAAATTCGCTGATGTTTTCCCCATATTCTCCATTTTCTTTCATATAATTTTCTCATAATTTCGATGCTTTCCCCAGTGTTCCATTCCCATCCCGGTGGTTTTTTCCCGCAATCGGAGGACTCCAAACCTCGCCGCAGCACCTCCAAGCCCTCCTCGCGTGCGCGGTCGCCCTCCGCGGGAGAGCGTGGCGAGGATGGAGGCGTGCGGGGCGATCGATTAATTATTTTTATTAGTATATATAACTATATATTATATATATATGTGTTATATATATATATGTGTTATATATATATAAGTATATATTAGTACTAATAGAGTAATGAAAAATAGTACTAATTTAGTCATCTTTTAGAACACTAGTGTTAGTATGAGTATTTAATGGGATAAAGTTGGGTGTATATATATATATATTATATTTTATTATATTATAATGTTATATTATATTATATTATATTATTATATTATATGATATTATATGATATAATATGATATTATATGATATTATTTTATATTATTTGGTATATATGATATTTTTTATATTATATGATTTGATATGATATGATATTATATTATGTTAAATTATATCTATATCTATATTATATTATGTTATGTTATGTTATACTATGTTATATTATATTACATTATACTATAATATTATATTATATTATATTGTAATGTATTATATTATATTATATATGCGTGGAATATGGTGGGATTAATGGTTTGTAACGTGGTCAACACAATCTTAAAAGGGAGGTACCCCCACATCATCCAAATCGTTAGAGCATTTTAGTATTGAAACCCATGGTGATTTGGGGATCCTCCATTGAAGGAAACCTCCATAAAGTGGGATATAATGGGATATGATGGAATATGATGTGATTTAAGGCGGGAATATATATATACATACATGTGTATGTATATGTCAATGTGTATATATATATATATTACATATATTACATATATACATACGTCATATGTATATATATTTATATATACATACATAATATATATATATATATGTGTTGGTGCAAGGGAGAATCTACAGGAAACCTGGTGGTTTTTGCCATCAAATACAGTGGGTTCCTGTAGATTTGCCCTTGAACCGTTCTCATTGGACAGATTTAATGTGATTAATGCGGATATTGATCCATTATATAGTGGGATTGAATCCCAATTGATATAATGGGAATATAGTGGGATAATCGTGAGGCAATGGGGAGATAATGGGATAGAATGGGGAGATACTGGGGAGGTATAACCACCAATTGGAATACTCTGAGCAATAGGAATTTAATGGGGTGTCACCAACCAAAAACTGTGTGTGTGTAACATTTAAATAGATGTAAAACTTATCCTTTTTTCTTTTTCTTTCTTCTCTCCTTTTAATAAAGCAGGGGGCCACCGGGGTCCCAGGGCGTCGGTGGCCAACGAAGACACCCCCTGGGTACCTGTGAAAACGTACCTGCTTATACGGGGCTAAGCCAAGAACCCCAATGCAGAGTTTTCACCTATTTGCGACAGACATGGCACGGGGCTAAGCCAAGAACCCCAAACAATCACAAATTTGTTTTTTTTCGACTTTATTTGACGTCATGGCGAAGGGCTAAGCCGAGAACCCTATTGCGATTATTTTCATCGTTTTGGACCTTATTTCATGGCGTTTCATTATTTTGGACTTTATTTGATAGCGATTCTGGTCACGATGGTCATTTCGGAGAACTTCCATTCTTCGAGTACGAGGTGGGTTCATTTGTTTCCTGTCCAATTTGCATGTTAAAGGACTCAGTTCCTGATGGATCTCTTAAAAGATCCAGTTTTGTCTAGTGTAATATCCATGGTGGCTCCGACATGGTGCCATGGAGCCACTGGAGGCAACCCCTTAGCGGGTGACTGTGGACGAATTTGACTTCAGAATTGTCACTTTTCAATTGGTAATTCGTTTAAGTAAAGTGGAACAGACGGCCTTTCCGTTCTTCACCGTTTTTTGAGAATTCCCGCTGCTCCTGTGGTCCCAATGATCCTTACGGAATGCATCTCTTTCTGTGTGAAGCCGTTCTGAACTGCCAGAAGCTTTCCGTTTTGCCGCAGCTTGAGTTGTTTCACAACAACACATACTCGTAGCATGATTGATACGCCAGGCAGGCACACGTTTTCCAGGTGTGGTACCTTTTCTTTTGATGGTTCTCAATGGTTCTCTGGTGAGGTTGAACATTTTGTGCATCTAATTCGTTGGAACTTGAACAGCTGTTTATGCCCTTGCGGCGTGACTTGACTACGGTCCCGAAGCGGAGTAACGCACGACTTCTGTTGTAGTTGGAACTGGGTCCTTTTAAGATTAATTGTTTTGGTTGATTCACGCCCGTCACCAACTAGTCCCCATTCGGTCCCTAATTCTTCCCCTGTGCTTCTCCGTAATGTGTCGTGGGGTTTAGGTGTGTGCTCTGTTTTTGTCAGGTCCGTTTCGCCGCGTAGGTTGGTTCTGGAGGTCCGTTCGTTCCCTTCCCCCCCTGCGCTGTTCTGGCCTTTTGCCCGTCGTCTGTGTCCGCTTTTTCCTTCCTCTTGCCTGTCAGGGTTGACCTGGCTCCGGCCGGGTGTGTGTGTGTAACATCTAAATAGATGTAAAACTTCTCCTTTCTTCTTTTTCTTTCTTCTCTCCTTTTAATAAAGCAGGGGGCCACCGGGGTCCCAGGGCGTCGGTGGCCAACGAAGACACCCCCTGGGTACCTGTGAAAACGTACCTGCTTATACGGGGCTAAGCCAAGAACCCCAATGCAGAGTTTTCACCTATTTGCGACAGACATGGCACGGGGCTAAGCCAAGAACCCCAAACAATCACAAATTTGTTTTTTTGCGACTTTATTTGACGTCATGGCGAAGGGCTAAGCCGAGAACCCTATTGCGATTATTTTCATCGTTTTGGACCTTATTTCATGGCGTTTCATTATTTTGGACTTTATTTGATAGCGATTCTGGTCACGATGGTCATTTCGGAGAACTTCCATTCTTCGAGTACGAGGTGGGTTCATTTGTTTCCCGTCCAATTTGCATGTTAAAGGACTCAGTTCCTGATGGATCTCTTAAAAGATCCAGTTTTGTCTAGTGTGTGAAAATGGATATATACAACCAAATAACAATTTTAATGGAAAAACGCATGATTAACCATGAACATTTTTCCTGAACATTTTCAGACAAACCCATGTGTTATTGAATGCTTTAATGGTATAATAACACCCAAAAATATGGAATTATCGCCATACGTTATTATGTACCGTAAGTGGGTTCACCCAGGATGCATGTTGACCCTGATGAATTAATTAGGGGTAACAACCCATATCTGGGTTTGATGACATCACATTGATGTGGCAAATCCAAAAATAAATGGAGACATGTGGGATGCTTATGGTAAGAGATGGGGTAATTTGGAGATATTTACAATATTGAGCACCATAGCATCTTCAAGTGAGAAGATGATTCCAGTTGATTTTCAAGTCATGGAGTTGAACCATTTTGTCATATTTTGTCTAGCGATTTCCAGTAGGGACAAATTACTCGGATAACCCCATGGATTTCTCATGGATTTCTCCAGTGCCGCGCCTCAGACGTCGCCAACTTTCGGGCCGTGACGGCGCCCCTCTCCATGGTGCCGGTGCCGGCCAAGCGCTTCAAGCGCGTGCGGGAGTTCTGGACACAGACGCAGAGGGACTTGGAGGAGCGAGGAGCTCAAACCGATCCCATGAGGCGGAAACGTGGGGAGGCGAAGAGACCCAATGGTGATGGCGATAGCAACTATACCCTTGAAATTTTGAGGAGAAATCATGTATTTGTAATATGTGATAAACATACTCTCCGATATTGGAGTATGTTAGATACATCATACAGTACATCATTAAATTACTATATGTATATTATATCATTGTACTTGTGCTACTTAAAACAATACTCCAATGCACTACATGACAACATTTGATTGCATTTGATTGCAGTAGACTGCATTCTTAGATGACATCAGCATTGCACATTGCATCACACATTCCATTTCATATTCCGTTTCACATTTCATTGCACATTGCCTTGCGTCTGACACAGCACTTACATTGCAAATTGCACATTGGCTGACACATCGCCTTGCAAACTTATTATGCTTTGCACATTGCACTATAAGTTGCATTCTGACACAATACCTACAGAAACGTATGTGAATTGTGTGGGTGTGTATTTGGACCACAACTGAGAATTGGCGAGGTGGGGTGGGGCGGGTAGGGATGGGTGGGAAATGACCTTCGATTTTTTGCTGTTCCAATGACCACTTCTACACACTTTATCTCCGTGCTACTGAATGTAAAAACTTGCACTTCCACAAACTCTGTACCTTTCCACTACTAACTGTTGACATGCACTTCAACACACACACACACACTCTGTACCTCTACGCAAACTGACTGTGGACTTGCACTTCTACATGTATTTTGTTTATACACTACGTGCTGATACAGATTTAAATACGTATACGTGTATTTTTTCGTTGACAGAATATACACATACCGTATATTGTGTATATATATATATACATGTATGATGCACATATCAATACGTGCTATTTGTATGCTAATCCGCTAAACGTCTACCTCATTCAATGGTTTAACCTTTTGAGGTCTGTGATTAGTTTCTGTACACTCACTATATCTATCTCTGTGCAGATGCATGCCCTCCAGTTACTGTATATCACACGAAGTACAAGGTTTGAATGTCTACCATCTGGTTATTTAACATAGCCATGGAAAATCACCATGTTTAATAGGTAAACCAGTAAACCATCTATAAATGGACCATTTTCCATGGCTATGTTAAATAACCAGAGGGTAGGTGTATTTGAATTTGAAGGCCTCTTTGACTACTGCTGCCTTTGTTGAGGATTTCTACTTTAAATTGATGGTACATTGCCTAGAGGAATATTGCACTCTTTTCAAGAACTGTTTCACTCCTTTGAAGGGTATTGCCCAGAGAAATGTTGCTAGACCCTCTTAAAAGAACATAGTATCAAGAGTCATCATGCAACACTCTCGAACCATTGCACTCTTTTATACTATAGTATTTCAATAGAGTACTGCATCCATTGAACAGATATATTCTAGTAGCGCTGCGCGGCTGCGCCCCTTCAGAGGAATGCTTCAGCATCTCTCTGTCGTTTCCCTAGGAATGCTGCAACTTTCAACGGCTTTTTTTTAATTTTACTACTGCATTTTGTGAAGGATGCAGAGTCTACAACAATGGTGCATTGAGGACATTACACTGTTTTAAAGACATATGTTACTCTTCTTACGGGAACGTTGCTTTAACAAGAGTACTGAAACCATTCAAGCAATTCAAGGACGTTCTTTGAACATAAGACTCTTGAAGCATTCTACTACAAGGATACATTACATTTTCTCCAAGGAATGTCCCACTATTTTGAAGGAATATATCCAATACCATTTCAACAGAGTACTGCATCCATCCAGGGTCTTTCTTTGAAGGTAAGACTCTTTCAACTTACTACTGCGTTTGTTGCAGCATGCTGCAGTACCAAGCAATGTTACATGTTCTCAAAGTAATGCCCCAGCATTTCCCCAGTTTGTCAGTTTTTCAGTTTTTCGATTTCTGGTTTCTCTGCAAAGGCTTTTCATTAGATCGGCAACCGGTGGCTAACCTTCCTGGACAGACCAGAAACTGAAAAACTGGATGTCTGGGACGTAACCGCAAAAAAGAAAGCCTAGCTGCAGAACTATGTCTGGGACTGGGACTGGCTATGGTTGGGTGAATCTAGTTCTTGTTTGTTGTCTTTTGGAATATTCTTCGTTGTTTGTTCATTTTCGGTTTCTATCCCAGACATAGTTTTTGATAGCAAACAGGTGTCTCAGAGAATTGTTTTCGACCAATTTTGTTGGTATTGGAGATAGAATATTGTCCCAAGGTTTTCTGATCCTATTCTTGTTGCAATTAAATGCAGGATATTGTCGGTCTCTGTATACAAAGACAGTTAGATATATGATACCAGATAGTGCCCGGCCCATGCCGGGGCAGAAGTTTCGAACAAATGACATGGCTATAAGAAATCAAGAAATCGATGGCCTACAGTTTTTTGAGATGCAGAAGCAATGAAGTGTCGAAACTTTGCGGTGCATCAGCGAATGAGCAAATTGTGGTCGAGATGCCAATGAAATGCAATGAAAAAACCAATGCGCAATTGACCGAATGAACCGATGAGTCGATCAATCAATGAATCAATGAAGGAATGAACCGATGAGTCAGTGAGTCAATGAATCAATGACCAGATTATCTAGTGAATCAAAAAACCAATGAATCAGTAAATCACTGCATCAATGAATGAATGAATCGACAATTCAGTAAACCAATGGATCAATGAATCAATGAATCAGTGAGCCAATGAATCAATGTATCAGCGAGCCAATGAATCAATGAATCAGTGAGTCAATGCATATGCATGAACGAATAAGTGGATGGATGAATGAATGAGTGGATGGATGAGTGAGCTACTTCTTTGTCGAGCTACTTCTTCACTGAGCGACCTCTTTGCTGAGGCACCTCTTGTCTCAGCTTCTTCTTCTCTGACCCCACTCTGATGTCCTTGCAATCCCGCATAGCAGGACCAACATTCGCACAGCGCTAACAATGGGGACGATTTCGTGCCGTGCTGAGACCGCCATTTTTATACGTTTTTTTCGTTAAATCGAGCTCTGGCTACAGTCTCGTGCACATTTTGCCGACTTCATCGCCCAAAAGTGCTCCGCGCACCCGATTTTTTTTGCAATTTTGAAATGCAAATCGAGCTCTCGCTACTGTACAGTCCTGTGGGCTTTTTGGTCGACAACTTTGCCAGATCGAGGCCCAAAGTTAAATCCACGGAAACAGAGACCCTACTTCGGCGACCCCAGAGCTTGTTTTCACCCGTGAATTCACACGTTTCCGAACCCCAACTAGTTGATGATGGGTGGTTGATGTGGTTGACATGATGGTGGGAATGCTAACCATGACAATCGTCCGTAACTCGGACATTTTCCAACTAAATTTCCTTTGGTTGGTTTTCTTGTGGCAATGGACAATGAACAAACGTTTTGTTACTTTTCGTACCGTCGGGCGTTTGCCCTGCTGTTTCAGGATTCAAAAGCAGAAAACCGAGAACCTTGGTTCAAATTCTCACGGTTTGTCAGCTGATAAACCCAACAAGAACCAGGGGAATAGGGGCAGCATATTGGAATTCGAGAGTTGTGCTGTTCTGCCATGTTCGATCATTTGGACAAATCAATCTCAATAAAAACATAAGGTTGCGGACATGTTGTTGCATTCTTAAAACTATGTGAGCAAGTATTTGTTGGACACGTGGGGCAAATGTTGGCCTCTTGCTTCCCAATACTTGGCTGGATATTTGCAACCATATTGTGAACTTATTTATAGGATGTCCTGAGGGAATACTCGTGAATAAGAGCTGAACAGACCTGTAAGAAAAGGTGTTGGGGGAAGCGGATTTCTGTATGCACAAAGACGCCAGTAAAGTGAGTGTCCCCAAACCCCTAAATAATGCCAGCAGATACATTTTTGTTTGAAATGTGGTAACGAAACAAAATCTTGGTGAATTCCTTTTTGGAACATAGAGAGTGATGGTGTGTGAACAACAGGGCCATGAAAGGTATAGCAGATTTCACATCCGCAAATATTATCATCAACATGTGAACCCCAAACCCATCGAATTGTCTTCATTCCAGTATCAATTTCCTAGCTCTTCAGGGTTACCAAATCTTGAGCAGATCCACCTTTGGTTTCGTCTGAACTGGGCCCATGTTCGAACCAGGAAGAGTGCTGCTTTCACCAGTTTCTTTAACAAGAAGGATTTGTTTGGGCCATGACGTTGGAGTTGTCGGGTTGACGAAGATGGAACTACACAAGCAACAAGTTTGTTGCTGTGGTTAATCCAATGCCATAAATTTCATAAACATCCCCAATGACTTACCATAAATGGACAAATGGTTTGGATTCCAACCATCCCCAAGCATTGGGGTTTATTGGTAGGTTTACCACACTGGTCATTGAACAGTATTGAACCATTGGAAATCGACAACAGGGCTTGCACTGTACGTGGCCAAGTACCATCAGTTTGTGGGGCAATGCTTCTCGCAAAAGGGTTTGTGGCTGGATATTTGCTGACGTGTGCAAGCCTAATTGTAATTTTGTTTTTTCCAAACCGTTGTGCTGTTGACAAGACTGGAATCCCATAATATAAGTGGAAACTTTGGATATTATATTCAGTTATTCTTTGGTTTTATCATGTTTTATCTCTAATCAACGCACAATATCCCGCGTATCTAAAATATAGCTAATGTATAGTATGGATGCACATATTTGTATACAATTGTATACGTATGTTACCGTATGTTACATGTATGTATAAGCATTGTGTAGGACATATATACATAGGTATTTTTTTGTAAACAAACATGTTTGATAATGTTTGATAGCTATAAACCACCATTGTTGTTGGTTTCACCGGCCTTCATTGATAGCTAACCAGCAGCATTTTTCTTTCTGTTATCCCCCCCAAATATTGGTGCTTCAACAGCAGGAGAAGTCGCAGCATCAAAATACCCGTGGGGTCTCGATGAACGACTTGGACGCCATGAAAGCGCGGGCACGATGCCTGGTTTCATGAAAAATCCCAACGAAAAATGGATAGGGGGTAGCTTCATGACTGGATGGAAACCTCCATGTGTTGATTTAGCACTTTTTGTTTTGGGGCCAATTGTGGATCTAAGCCCTTTTTTCGGCTTTCGGACTGATTTTATAAATCATAGTTTTGAAAACCAAGCAAGAAGCGGCACACATGGAATTGTGATTTATCAACCAAACCAAAAAGCGCATTCTTCTGACGAACCGTCAACAATTGTACATGTTTACATATATAATTATATTTATTTATTATATTATGTACAGTACGTACTGTATATTATATATACAATGAATACGCATAATACGTATCTATATATTTACAGTATACTTTCTATATGTATATCTATATATGTGCATAATGTTGAGTTCATATTAATAGCAACGCCAGAATTAGTCAGCACCCAAAATCCAACAATTGTTAGCAACTCTACTTTGGGTTGTTCCCTCCCTATTAATCAACATGTGTGGTCACCCCCTATTAAACAACACCCTTCCGGACAATCCGATTTTTTGGATTTAACAACTAATGGAAAACCAATGGAAAACCTTTCTCATATTAAATCTCATGAACCCCATTCTAAATCTCATAAATCCAATTTTTGGTGTTGCTGCTCATTATTTGGGGGTGAAAACCTTCTAATGGATCTAGACCTTTTGGGGGGTTACCATTACGAACTTGGCATTACATACTATGTATTTGTACACACATACATATATATATATACGGCAAATGCCTGGGCTTTGCCCGGAACCGCAACCACAACACGCAACGCATCATCATCATCCTCATCATCATCACCATGGTCATCATCACCATCACCATCATCATCATCATTATCATCATCATCATTAAACCCTTAGTGAAGATCTTCAATGAATGTAGAAGTTGAACGGGGGTGGGAGAATTACACCCTTATTGAAGATCTTCAATGAATGTAGAAATTTAACGGGGGTGGGAGAATTACACTCTTATTGAAGATCTTCAATGAATGTAGAAGTTTAACGGGGGTGGGTGAATTACACCCTTATTTAAGATCTTCAATGAATGTAGAAGTTTAACGGGGGTGGGAGAATTAAACCTTCATTGAAGATCTTCAATGAATGTAGAAGTTTAACGGGGGTGGGACTTTATTCCCTAATACCTTTGTTGATCTTCCCACTTGAATTTAGAGTTTAACGGGGGTGGGTTTTTAATATTCCCTAATACCTTTGTTGATCTTCCCAACGGAATGCAGAGTTGCAGCAACATTTGATTGGGAATGGGACCCTCTACGCTGCAACGCGTGGGCAAAGCCCAGGCGTTGCGCGTAGATAAAAATATATATGTATACATACACACAATGTATACATATATATATGTATATATGTACACACTCACAATGTGTATATTATGTACATATGTACAATATGTTTATAATATATATATATATATATACAGACAATACGTACACTATTTATAATATGTATAATTGTTTTTTGGTTTACACTATGATATAATATATGTACATATATGACGATGGAATTATACAACAGCGGCCAAGATACAGCGAACTGCTGAATTGTTCCCAGGAAAAGCGGTGATGCGGCCGCCACTCGGCCATACCATCCATGGACCTTTCATGGGGAACTGTCTTATTTTTATGCGTATTATATATACATATTATATATACATATTATATATACATATTATATATACATATTATATATACATATTATATATACATATTATTTAACATCCGTGAATGCTTCGCCAGATGGATGGTACATCTTGTCGCGGGTGAGAAGTTCATGGACCTCCGAATACAAACTGAATCATACTCTCTCTATGTCATTCAAATATCTACATATACACGCCATGTACATGAATGATATTGATTTTTTGTTCGTATGGAAAGGGAAGATCCACATGGTGTCTCCTCAGCGATATGGTTGCCCTGCAGCAGTTGGCTTTAGATGCACTTTTTGTTTGGATTTGGTTTTGCAGCATAGCTGAAAAAATACACAGCGTGACAAAGATGGAATGATGATTTATTCTTTGTAGCGGCCAAAGACGTCTTTTGTTTAGCCTTCCTCCATTTGTTGTAGATGCCAATATACCCAGTGGCAGTTGTTGGTAAATATGTTTCCCTTGGTGCAGCATATTATGGTGTTTTTCCCCACCTGCCAGGTGAGGGTCTCCAGGACTCCAGATTTTATCTCCACCTCCTCAGCCGCGAGCTGCAGACAGTAGTGGGCACTGCCGGACTGCAACTGCGAGCTCCAGATCTCACTGTGTCAGCCAGACGCCAGAGAGAATGTCAGCATATATGCCAGAAAGTATGTCAGACTATATATATACAGTTATATACATACATATCCAATATATACTTCCAGATGGCATGTCAGAAACTATATCAGAAGAGGTCAGAAAAATGTGTCAGGGTGGGGATCAATCGAAGAAAGTTTGTTTTCCTAGAATTTTGTTTTCTCTCGGTCCTACCGCTATCCTCGGTTGATGCTGATTATTTGCCTCCTTGCTGCTTCCTGATATCCTCCTATACCATACCTCGAAAGGCAAGGTATAGGCCACTTCTCCATTCGTTGAAATCTCCATGGAAAGGCAGTATGACGTGACCAACTGCTACAAGAACGAGGGCTGTTTCCAAGCCATAGCCAGGTGGGAACTGGGGATCAACATACATTTCCAACAACCCAACGATGTGAACAGAAGGGCTGTTGAGCCATATTATCCACAATTAGCGACCAAAAGTGCTGTTTGAGACTGTCCCAAGTTCTAAATTGTTGAAGTCATGTTTATATAATTTATAATTATTACGTATAGGTGCCCCGACTGGTATCTATTGGCATCACCAAGGAGAAACAAAAAATGTTCAGCGTCATTGAAGAGTCCACTCAGAATCCAAAGCGAACATGCATTCTTTTTCGGTGCAACATTAGTTTGAATAGCAAGAGTATACAAAAATCCTATCACTTTGTGTGTTTTCTGTTGTGCCAATCAATCCATTTTGTTTCGAGTGTCAAGCCGCAGACAAACGAACAGTATGTCATGAAAACTGGACTCAATCCTCAAGGTCTTGTTCAACCCCAGATTCTTCAGGCAAGATGCCTGTCATAGAGCAATACACCTTGCTCCAAATGTCTATTGCTGAGTTCACATGTTCTTCAAGCATATAAAACACATGGGAGGAAATCTCAATTTAAACTGAACAGGACATTTGGACCGTACCTTGAATTTGTCACACAACCAGAATATTCCGCAACTACTTTAATGAAATGTGTTCCAATCCCAACCAACATTTGCACCTTAACATCCGTGCAACGGACATTCATCTAGTTATTTATACTATTAGATAATAAATGGATTATTTTCCGGTTTATGTCTTAAATACCATCCACTATATATTTAAATACCCGTTGAGTTACAGCTTTTTCATGGTCTTTCCCAGCCCATCCTGCGAGGTCCAGCGTTTTCGATCAGCTCACTGTCTTGGTGGTCTGCGTCAACGCCGTTTGGATCGTCACCTTGTGGCATACAGCTGGCCCAAGCGACTGGAGGTTCAAACTTTTAAACCAATGTGGTTTTCCTTCAAAACAGAAGGCCTGAAGTGATAGACCATATGTTATTATTATTATTAATATATAATAATATATATATATACATAATATATATATATTTATATATAATATGTATATATATATATATATTCTCAAGTGGAACCCACATCATGAACAATGTCCCACTGCTATGTTTACCAGAGAACTGCTTCACCAATTGTTCGCAGGTTCCACAGAATTCACACTGACCCGCTGGCTGCAGTTTGAGGCTGTTGACACCGATAGTAACACCGCATTGTTCCTCTATGAGGCGTTGCAGTGGAACTGGACGTACTTTGGAATATGTATCTATGATAATAATAAAAGAACATGTCAGATAAACATGTAATAGTAATATATCATAGTATGATATGATATAATATAGAATGTAACATAATATAATATAACATAATATAATATAATATAATTCCATATAATATAATAGAACATGATGCAATATAACACAACACAACACAATGCAATATATAGCATAATATGATATAATGTGATACAATATGATTTAATATGATATAATATGATATAATATGATATAATATGATATAGTATGATATAATATGTGATAATATGATATAATATGTAGTAATATGATATAATATGAAATAATATTATATAGTATGTTTTAATATGATATAATATGATATATGTTTTAATATGATATAATATGTGATAATATGATATACTATGTTATCATATGATATAACATGTGATAATATGATATAATATGATATAGTATGATATAATATGTGATAATATGATATAGTATGATATAATATGATATAACAGAATACAATATGTTATAATATGATTTAATATGTGATAATATGATATAATATGTGATAATATGATATAATATGATACAATATGATATAACAGAATACAATATGATATAATATGATATAATATGATATCATATGATATAATATGATATAATGTGATATAATATGATATAATATGATATAATATGATATAATATGATATAGTATGATATAATATGATATAATATGTGATAATATGATATAATATGATATAACAGAATACAATATAACATAATAATATATATATATATACACATACATACTATTATATATATAATATATTATAATATGTATATATATATATATATATGTGGACAATAGTGTCTCTTGCTTGTTACCGATTGATCCATCCTGTGGAGATGGATCACATCGCCCTGGCGCAGGCCGATCCCATCTTTCAAATCGTCGAAAACGTGCCGGGAGACCTGAGAACCGATCAGTGATCCATGGGTGATCCTTGAGATATTTTTTTTATGCTATAAGATTATAAGTGTATCGAAAAGTATATAAGTGTATCTATTAGTGTATCTATTAGTGATATCTGTTAGTGATATCTGTTAGTGATATCTATTAGTGTATCTATTAGTGATATCTGTTAGTGATATCTGTTAGTGATATCTATTAGTGTATCTAAAGGTATCAATGAGTATGTTTATTAAGATACTTTTGGATTCACTAATAGCACACTGTATATTATTGTTCAACAGGTGCACCGTAGATTCCACTAAGTTAACACAGTATTTTGAGTGTTACCTAACAATGACCATGTCCACGTATACAGAATTGACCGTTTGACCGGGGCGAAGATGACCTCGGGATGGCCCAGGTTCTGCACGTATTTCTTCCTGGAAATTTGCATTCGCTTTGGCGCCTTTGAAAAGAAGTGTAACGCCTTGATGGACAAGTACCTTGGTGAAGTCGTGTCGGTAGGGACCGGTGGACCATGGTGGACGGGAAAGCCCTGGAAAGAGTATGAGCTGCAACAAAGGTGGAACAATCGAGGTTTTATAGTTTCCTCTCTGGTAATCATACATGGCAACGGAACATGGCGATTTTGTTCAATGATTTTCACATTGAAACCTCCATGTAGTTACAGGAACTTCCCAACTAATAGCCATGTTTGAAGATCGTCCCCGATGTTTTCACCTTTCGAGGCCATGATTGCTGCATATCAACGAGTTGGCCCAACAAACTCTCTCTTCTACCATCTTTTGTTCCTTTTGTTCTTGGCCTTTAGATCCATTGTTCTCCATTTTTCATTATATGTTGGTGTGTGTTTTTTTTTTAAACTTTGCAGTTGTAATTTACATAATGTGGTTAAAACAATAATAAACCATTCCCAAATATATCCCATAAATGGGATGTATAAACCATCAACGATGGGATGGTTTATTACCGTTTTGAACCACATTAAGCATGTTTATGTTTGCTCTTCGAACTGCTTTCGAGGTGGTTCATGTTTGATGCTATCTTGGTGCTAAATATGGTCGTTGAGACCTGGTTGCTGCCACTCATGTGACTTGGTGGGGTCTGGCTCCCCAATGTGGTAAGTGAAGGGGACACTACATTCGAATGCATCTGATAGACCCGTGAACTGTATACATACATACATACATACATACATACATACATACATACATACATACATACATACATACAGACAGACAGACAGACACACACACATACATACATACATACATACATACCATACATACCATACATACCATACATACCATACATACATACATACATACCATACATACCATACCATACCATACCATACCATACCATACATACCATACATACCATACATACCATACATACCATACATACCATACATACCATACATACCATACATACCATACATACCATACATACCATACATACCATACATACATACATACCATACATACAAACATACATACAAACATACAAACATACATACATACATACATACATACATACAAACATACATACATACATACATACATACATACATACATACATACATACATACATACATACATACATACATACATACACATATGCTGATTATTCATGTATGCATATGTATTTATATATAATATTCCCGTTTACTGTCATGGACCATGTTCGGGACAGTTTTTCTTTGAAATCAGAAGAGTCACGTTGGAATAAATTGGAAGATGATTGGCCCAGTGAATTGCTCTCAAAGACGGGGGACTAGTTTTGTACCAGATGTAAGGTATATGACAAGCGTTCAGAAATACATCTGTGTATATATATATATGTGTATATATTAGTATATTATATATCATAGCAAAGATCTTGTGCCAGTGGATAACAATTTATCTGGATCCAGCGGTTTTTCCTCTTCGTTATTTGGCAGCGCTAGCAAATCTGCAAGGTTTGAACTAGTTTTTCATATGGTTGTTATTGATAGATTGCTTTTGTATGTTCCTGAATCGTTGTTATTTTGACATACGTTCTTCAGGGGATACGGTTCTGAATAGATACGCTTCCTTCAAGGCAAGTCCAAACTCATCAAAACATGCGTTGTTCCTAGCATTGGAGTAAGGAACATCCTGTAATATGAAACATGCAATCATTTCACACCCTTGAACTGTAACCCAGTCGCTTCCGGAGAATGTCACATCCTTTTGACAAAGACAATGACGCCGAAGGCAAGGACAAGCTTTGCAGCAAGAGAAGAAACAGATGGTGGAAAGTTCTTCCAGTTTCACTACTACCAGTGGCACCCACTGCAAAATGCACTAGCATTTCCTGCAGTTTTCTAGATGTGGTTTCAAACACAAAAGAGAAAATGCTGGCTTTTCAGACCGTTTAGATGGTCATAGTGTTGAATACCAAACAATCTAAGAAGGCTTGGAATTACGATGTATCAGCCAAACCAGCTCAAGACATTTTATTGACGAACCATCATATCATTCGAGGATACTAGAGGAAGAACTTGTCTTTCTTGTTTGATTCTGATCGTTTCTTGCAGTTTTACCAGTTCCAATAATTTTAGACATAAAGATTCCTACCAGAGACTCTGAACAACCCCAAAGATCAATGGCTGGCCATAGACTTCCTTGTTTTCATTTGACCACCTGGGTGTGGCCGAAAGATGGCTCCTCACCAACATGTGTCTTCAAATGTACCCATAGAACCGGGTGGATATATACCAGCTACTTTAACGTTCACCATCTTTGCTGCAGATTTGTCACCTCAGCGTGGTTACCTCTTTTGGCGCAGCAGACAGGTTTGTGGCCATGGGGAGCGAGGACTTTGGAAACACCATTGACGTGTCCATGCTGCGTCACTGGAAATTTCAGATGGCGTGATTCCCCAAAGCTATACAGTCAAAGTATACTATAGCCAGATGCCTAAACAAGTGGGGGAAGGCAACAAAAACATCAAACATCTACAGATGTTTAAGCCTAAAAGCTGATGATATTGACTCAACCGTTTTTAGGGGTGAGTTCCAAATTGCAGGAGGCTTTTCCGCTTTTACCAATGGTTTTTTTCCCTGCGGTCAACCACATTTGAGCTGTTTTTTTTGGTTTCATATTCCCCATATTTGACGGTTCAGGTAATAACTTCGAAAGTTATTTTATTTTGCCAATATACTACTGAGGGCAACAAGTTGCATATAGTAACATCTTCCAACCCACCAACCAGTCTTAGACTTGGTTCAGGGGAGAAATCTCACAGGAAACCACAGTATTTGAAGGATTTTGAGGCTAACCACAGAGTTTTTGCAACTTGTCCCATAGCTTGTCCGAGTCACCAATCCAATGACAAATTGGAAACCCGGATATGCATCCTAGAAATCGCAAGTGCTTTATGATTTATAGGACTTCAGAAGTTCTATATGGGATATAGCGATACCCAGTTCTGCATAGCTGGGGACTGGTTCAAAGATGTTTGATCTTCAGAAGTTTCCACCCCAGGAAAGGCATGGGACATCGGAAGATTGGACGACTGTGTGGTATCCTATCCCCAGTAAGTTGTTGTTGCTTACTTACTGTCATGTGGTTTTATTCCATTGCATCATGATAACAGATCAAAGCTTATATTCTAAGTATAGCCCATAGATATATTCAGTTACATATACAACTCAAATCAACTCAGTACATTGAGGGACATTGAGGAATCAATATCCTAATCATCCAGGTATATATATATAGTAATTATATATGATGTATATATGTTATTATGTTGGTAAAGTTGGATGAACCCACTTATACATGATGGAACATTGAGAGTTTGGTACGGGTAATTTCCGTGTTTCACCTGCCATATCCGCTCTCCCCATGGCCCCATGCTTCCCCAGGCATGTTGCGCCTCGTGAAACTCACCCGTTTGTCGCGCATCTCGCGGCTGCTGCGTTCTGTCCCCGAGCTGGCCATCATCGTGTGCCTGGCCGTACGGGGAACGGGTGATCTTCACCAACAAACGTGGGATTCAACCGACAGAAAAAGGGTTTAACATGGTTTAACCACGAAAAATGATGACTTAGTGTGACCCAACAAAAAGGGGGTTCATACATATCATATGAGGCATTCACGATCAAACATAGGGGTAGACCTTAGTAAAGCATATCATATACAGGGTATCCAAGGTTGGCCATGTGCATTCCTGAAGGGGATTGAACCACCACCAGAAAGTGGGATGTTCAGCCATATTTAACCACCTAAAATATTGAGATTCAATTGTTGATTGAAGTTAGCACAACTAAAAGGTAGTTGAAGAATTCGGTGTTTCAAAGTTTGAGGGCCCAACTTTTCCCCATCTACTGTAAATGGACGACACCGTGAACCACCGGTCATTTCCTGGGCACTACGGGGCGCCACAAAGATCCCCATGGTGAGGAAGGCGATCGGTTTATCTGCTCGCTCGGTGTGCGTGTTCTTTGCGCTTTGGTTGGTGCCTTGGCCGAATGTAGGGCTTATGGCTTCCCAGTTGGGGTATTGAAAGACGGCATTGGAAGACGTTGGAACCATTTCCAACAATGTTGACGTGTGATTGACAACACCCCGCTTTTCAATATCGGCATCCAAGTATTTAAAGTTGTCCCGCTCGGCCCCCCAACATGTAGTTGGGGAATATGTTCTGGGTAGTTTGGAAATGTATTCATGGAAAAAATGTGAAAACATGAATTGATTCGAAGTTGACTTACTTGAGAATTTGGATACAACTTGACATTAAAGTTAGGTTTGATTCAAATTGACTTCATGTAATTCATGGAATTAGAATTGAATTTAATTTCGAACTGACTCTAAGCATTTGGGTTTGACATAGAATCTAAACTAGTTTGAATTTGAATTGGAACTAGCCTTGGGCTTTTACATAGGAAGGCCCCTAGAATCGGGGAACTTTATTTGGGGTAAACAATGCATTTTGTTTGTGTTGACTTGTTTCTGGACTACTCCCTTTGCACATTTGTTTTGAACCATGTTTGAAACAAGATGTAATAAGAAATGAAACGTCGGGACCTCGGTATTCTTTGAAAATCGATTCAAAAAACAGGACAAACAAAACGAAAACAGGGGCAAAAACAAAATGCAAAAAACGAAAACATGATAAACACAACTCAGAAAAAGAAGCCAAGAACATACCACCCCAAAAAAGGTTGCATACTTTATTCAGGGCTGGTTTAGAAATCCTTTTTTAGTTGGCGCGCGGGTTGTTGCCTGCCGCCGTGTACTGACAGCTGAACCCCGAGGGATTGGTTAGCTCCAACTTGAAGTGGCCCAAATTTAGATGGTTGGGCATCATGGATCCTATATTAACACATATTAAAACTATAATTAACACATATTAACTATATATTAACTATATATACTGGTAGCATTGATAATATGCATTTTATGGCTATCCATGGGTATTTTCCATGACACAACCAGATATGGCCAAAATGACAGCTGGGAGAACTATAGGATCTGCCCGGGATGGATCGCAGGTCTTGATCTATGTCTTCGCCATCACCTTGAGGACTTCGCGGAGGGTGTGAGCCAACTTAGATTTATATAAGGGTGAACGAGGCTAATTAAACTTTAATACAATGTGCCAATATGATCCAAAATGATAGTATAATGATATCATATGATACTACATGATACTACGATAGAATACCACATGATATAATATCAACCCCTTTCTACTGGGTAGAGTATGGTGAACGGCGAAACCTGTCTCGATTGCCATTTTGGAGCTGTGCCGCGTAGGCAGCTCACTTCTGGGACCGAGTTTGGAGAGACCTATTTCCAATCCGTACCTCAAGCGCGCCTTTTCTCAGCGGGAGTTGGATATGTCGGCTATGTGACGAATGATTCTTGTGTCGTTGGTGGACTGAATCTGTTTTATTATCTATTCTGGACGATGACACCAATTTAGAATATTTAGACAAGCATATTGTGATATATTGTGATGTATAAAGATGTATAAAGTGTCTATTTTTTGGGCTGTGCGTGCCAAAGATTGCCTGTCTATCTGTGGATTGATGAGGGATTTGAAGCTTTGATCAATCGTTGATCCATCTATAGTATATAATGGTGGTTTAATGGGGTTTGATGATGGTGGTTCATTGCTGATTCGATGGTATTTTTAAGTATATAATGATCATCATTCAAGCTTCGAGTTTTGTTGACATTTTAAGGAATTGATCTTTTGTGATTCTTGTGGGAAACCTGAACTCGGAGACTAAAGGATTCATGTCAGTGGGTGTTCTTCTGCCCTTGCGAGTAGACAAACATGTGAAGTGTGTTGGATTTGCCACGTCTGCGTTCACATGTCACCTACTGTAAAATGATAATGGTGCTCATAAAAGACCATTCTTGATGAACACATGCTGAGACCACTAGGACCCATTTGTTGGTTGCATAGGATCCGCCTATGCTTTAACTTCAGCTTCACCCCAATGATGGTAACATGCATTTGTCGAAACCACTCATCAACGGGAACCTATACCCAGTTGAATATGGTATAGTACTACTTCCCGGAAAGCCAACAATTTCAGTGCTGAATTTTGCTGGTGAAATCCTATTGGATCCAAGATGGCTTGTGGCCGAAAATCCGCAAAAATTGGGGTGCAACCCATGGCTCATGGCCATGAAACATCATGAAACCACCATTAGATGAGCCAGCCCCATCATAAATCCATTGGTGTAGCTAGTTCAATTCAACACTTGGCTGGTGAAATCCTTTTGTTTTGTTGATTAAACATGCATAAATTTCCATCTTTGGTGGCTAAATTCACGTGTTTGCCCGTTCAGTCTCAGTTATGTCGGTGAAATCCGTTTTTCTTGCTGGAATGTCTCCATTTTTCTGGTGAACTGCCAACTTTAACAAAGAACCCTGGTGAAGAAACCCCACGGCTGGCTTATCCCCAAGAAACAATGTGGTAACTGTAAACCCAGCTGCAAACCAATTACTTATCCCAGTCACTAACCCCACCTACTACAACCCCATTTACACACGTACGTATATGTATATATATATATATACACGTACATATATATATGTATAATATTATGGCGATCCATACTGCCCATGTCTCCCCAGACCCGTTTTCATGATCCATACCCGTTTTGGGAACCACAGCCATGTATATATATATACATATTTACATATGTATAGTCATCCTGGAAGAAATAGAATATGTATGTTTCAATACGATTCCCATTTTCCTGTCATGTTTTTAATTGTCCATATTCTATCAGGATGACTTTTTATATATATATATTATATATATAGCGTATATACACATTTATTACACATATTATCTATGTATATATATATATACACATATGCATATAGACTATCCCCCATCAGAACTGGCCTATCCTTTTGAGGTCATTCTCCCCAAAGTCATCCAAAGCCCCAGCGCCCCAGGATGGACACGTTGCTCTTGGATGGCATTTTGGCGGACTATGCTCCGCTGATGCACGCCATCCCTGCGGGGCATTTCATCGAGTGCCTGGCCGATGCCATGGGGATCTACCGGTAGCATACCCGGGATGAGTCAAATATATTGTAATGCCAGGGAATACCAGGTCATACGGAGATGAAGATTCATAAATCCCAATAATCCCAGCTATTTTGAGATGTGAACCGAAGGATACCATGATTTTGACCCATGATCATAATGATCATATGTGTTTATGGTATGGTGAAATGAACTAAATATATAAAAACAATGGATATGAATGAATGGATATGATAGATGGGTGCCATGGTCAAGAGTTGGATTGGCTCCGCCCAGTCCTTGGGGCATGGTGAGATGACTCCATGATGGTGAGATGACCCCAAACCATAGACCGTATATAGCATCTTTTGACCATGGCACATGTGATTATGATAGATTGGATAGATCTTGTTCAAGTGGAATCATCTCCAAATTGGCGGATCTGCGGAATTGTTCAGGTTGGTGAATTCAAACAAATTATCCACATAGATGGTGTTTTTGACATGTTTTGGTGATATGAATCACTTGATATATATAGTATTGCACTATAGATATGATAGATGATGTTTATGATGTGTTGCAATGCCATATACTCTCCCGAAAACCAACGTTGGGCCAAACAAAATATTAAAAAATGGGTTCCATGTTAGCGCACCCATGTTAAAATTCATGAGCGGGATAAGTGCCAGGTAGGTGCCATGTTGGTGCTAGTGAATTTGGACATGTTTGCACAATTTTTGGCTGCATGGAACCCCACAAGCTGCCAGAGAGTGCTCATCCAAAAGTTTCATGTTAGCCATGGTGGTTGATGGATGTAAGATGATACATAATAGCTCTTATGACTCAATGAGTCATTTTGTCGAAGATAAATTCCAAAGTACAAATTCTGAGGACACATTTAAACACATACAGTACATGTCAAAAAACACACACACACGAAAAAAATATCCTCAACACATCTTACAAACACGTCGAAAACATATTCAAAACATAAAGAGCAAACAAAAACATATATTCAAACTATATATTCATTTTCAATTTCTGATATGTTCTACAGATACTTTTTCCAATTTACCCACCATAAACGCAAACATTTTCATTTTCTCATTGTAGCCTTCCCGTTGGGAGGACCTCCGGCCAGAACCTCCGGGCGCCAAAGCCCCGGGGACACTTAACGGGTTCCAAGTTAGATTCCACGTTGACCCAGCGGGGGACACTTGCTCGAGGACTTCGACCCAACAGTGGAAGGTCCGCCTGGTGCACCCAGTCCATATCCTGAAAGCTGGACACCAACAAAGAAGCTAACATGGAACCCCACCGCTATCTTTCCCATGGTGACCTCCCCCGTACTCTGGCAGCTGGAACCCAACATGGAAGCGAACATGGCACCCAAGATGGACCCCATATTTTGAAAGCTGGAAACGAAGACCCCCATTGCACCTTTCCCATGGTGACCTCCCCCATACCCTGACAGCTGGAAACCAACATGGAAGCCAACATGGAACCCAACATGGACCCCCACGGTACCTTTCCCATGGTGACCTCCCCCATACCCTGAAAGCTGGAAACCAACATGGAAGCCAACAAAACAAAACCCCGTTGTCCGTGCTCCGTGAGCCGTCGCTTGCAGCAAGGCTTTGCATGTGTGGCTTTGGTTTGCAGCCGCAACCAACATGGAACCCAACCGATATTAAAAAAAACATAAGTTGAACCTTGTCATGAAAGAACCTTATCATTCTTCCCCACCCATGTCTGCATGTTTATTGGCAGAAGGCCTGGCACCAAAAAAAAAAACATAAAAAATGAATCCCTCTCCCCTGGGGTGGGATGGGGAAGAATATTTTGGAGCATGTTGCGCCACTCAGCCCTAGTTTTTCTTAGGTCTAGTGGCATTTGGTGAATGTTTTCCCCAGCATGCTTGGGTTGAATCTGGACTTGGCATACCAGACTCCAGGAACCCGAAAACTAACTTGGAGCCTGAATGGGCATTTCGTTGGAGGAAGTGAACAGCAGAAAATACAGCAAGTAAAAAAAATCCCGGCTTTACACTTGGTAAAGGCGAAAATGTGCCATTTGGACGTTTTTGGGCTGAATCTGGGCTGGTGGCCACATTTTGTCTCCGCGTATGCTCCCCCTGGTCAGGCTCTCCTCCATCAACCCGCTGTGTCCCCTGGGTGCGGTCGTCGAACCCACAACGGAAACCAACATGGAACCCAACGAGTTTAACTTTTGGGGGGACCAGCTCCAGCAAATTCACCATAAAATTGTCACGTTTGTTTTTCTTTTGCTCCTTGTTGCTCTGTCCATCTCTTTCTTAGTTTGCTGATATTTGTTATCCTTTCATGTCGCTTGTTTTTTCTCTCTTCGCTGTCAGGTTTTCTGCCTGTTGCGGCTTACTTTGGAAGGTTGTGCGACGAACACGGAACCCAACACATATCCAAAAATAGGTCACGACCTTGGAACCTGAATAGTTATTAAAACGTGAGCGCAATACGAAGTGAAAAGTAGGGTCGCCCGAAAGTCACGCATTTGGAAGTCAAAAGTGGCAAAACATTACATTCTTGGACCATTTTGGAAGCTGGAATTTAGATAGTCAGACGCTCAGGTAGTCAGACAGACAGACAGACAGATAGACAGATAGATAGATAGATAGACAGACAGAGCACACAGCCAGATAGCCAGACAGACAGAAGAAAATGGGAATTCAAGATCACACATTTTTGCTAGTGGGCGCCGCGTTCTGGGGACTTGATGGCGGCCGCTACGAAGAAACCCTCAAAGGCGGGTCAGGTTAACATGTGCCTCGGCGGTATTCAATTCATGTGCCGCCCCCCTCAGGTCAATATCGTTAAAAAGCGCCGGAAGCTGGAGGTGCCGCATGATGGGTCACTTGTGCAAGTTCGAGTTTCATTCCTTGTTTCATCCATCGAAGGACCACTACATCCTGGGAGACAGCCTGGGTGAGGGTCAATATGGCACGGTGCGTGCAGCCGTTGCCACAGTGGATCAGGCGCAGCACTCAGCATGCTTCGACATGGGTTGACTGCCGCCAGAATTTGGACACAGGCAACGGTGGCCGTGAAGACCACAAGTAAATGCACTTTTTGCATGGAGGTCGTCCGCGCCTCAGGCTGCCCGCCCCATGCAATGACCCACAATGATGTTCGGATCCGGCAGTCGTTTGATGCGACAGCAGCTCATCGCCAGACCATTATGGAGAAGCTGAGCCACCCTCACATCATCAGACTCCTTGACTCGTTCAGCGATGCCAGGACCCCTCGAGCCACTCCATTCACAGTTTTGTTTTTTGACCCTCTGCTACACATTGTTTGGTCACAGCTGTCACTCACAGCCCTTGGTAGATGTTGGGAGGACTGTGCGCATAGTGATGGAGCGTTGTGATGGAGACCTCGACCAACTTCTCGATGAAAGGACAAAGTTGCAGGACCAACGGGTGTTTCTATTGGCTGCACATCGCGGCGCGTCAAATTGAAGTTCAGTTTCAGGAAAGCGAAATGGGGAGCTATTGTGCTTCCATTTCCCTGGCCTTGGCCCACATGCACGGCACGGTTCCAAGGCTGTAGGCATGTAGGTTTCAGCACCTTGCACGTCTCAGGAGGCTTTAGTTCAGAATGTGATGCTGAGGTGCAGGCATTGTTCATCGTAGCTTGGCAGAATCGCCGGCAAGTCACGAAGTGGGAAGGGCTTCACTGCATTGCGGAAGCGGGCCCCTGGCTTCTCAGGCGACCTTAAGCCAGCAAACGTCTTCTTGAGCCTTGGATGGTTGTTGATTGTGTTGGCCTCTAGCATGCACGCTTTGCATACAGACGGTGACGTGCTACGTACACAAAGTGCAATTCAGAAACCGAGCCGTCAGACACTGAGGAAAGACAGCGTGGTGAAAGTCGGTGATCTGGGCGCTGCCACTATGTTGGTCAACAACAAGGTGGACGCAAATTTCACCACGTGGTGCCTCAGCTGCATGTGTGTGGCCGAGTGGTTCGGCATCAGTGGTCGTGGGGCTTGCAGCCTGCAACCGCAAGTCGCGCGAGGATCGCCACACCTGAGTTTTGCGCGCCAGAGCTTCTTGAAGCTCGAAGCAACAACAGTGCTATTTATGGACCAGAGGTTGCCGACCCAGCCTTGAAGGACAGTTGCTGTTCACATTTTTTCAACATGCTTCCCTTGATATGTAGTGGGCGCAGCACGTGCTGCTCAGGTTGATTGGTGGGCCCTCGGCATTCTTTCGTTCACGCTTGTGAGTTTCTTGGCAGAGAGGATGGGTTAGAAGGGATGGAAGGGGATATCAACTCCAGTCGAGCAATCACAGCATTGTCTCAGGTGGCTATTTTCCATTCAACGGATCGGATGAGGAATTAGCGCGCGAGGCCGGATGAGATCAAGAGAACCCCTTGTTGTTCCGTGTGGTTTTGGTTTTGGGTTTGGGTCCGTGCCAGGTCAGAGCAGGCATTAATTCTGTGGCTATGCCCTTGGATTTGTCAGGGCAGGCCGCGACCTTTGAAGTGTCAGTACTAGCGGAATGCACGGGCCACTGAAGGTCGTGGGCTTTTGGTGATGGCCAACCAACAACGTACGCAATGCAGGAAAAACATGCACGTTCCAAGTGGAAAATTCGACGTTTTTCCCCCATGGCATTTGAGTGTTTGGTGAGGCCATTGACTTCATCAAGTGCCTCCTTCAAAAGGAACCGTTCAACAAAGTTTGAAACTGCACAGCTTGAAGCTTGAAATCGGTTTCTTCATTTTGCAGGAGCCGTCAGAAAGGTTGTGCGGGGTGGACTCTGTGAAAAGGCCTGAAAGTGAGACAATGCCATATCCGCGTCCAAACTTGCCACTGCTCCTTGCACGCAATGCTGCCGTTGTTTGTTCTAAGGCACTCCTTCTTGCGTGGCTTCGCTTGGGGCGATGAGGCGCCAAATTTTTTGCGGCCGAAACTTTGGTTTGGTGCGCGCCAGGGCACTCCAATGTTTGTATAGCGCTGACCCATGCTGACCCTTTACATGTTCTTTTCGGGTGGTTTTGGCTTGTTTAACCAAGACCTAAAATAAGTGGGGCCGCATGGTCAGTTAGTCAAAAATAGTTTTCTCTCTTTGAGCCTTCAAGGCTGCTTGTGATTGAGATGGGAAATTGATTGAGAGATCCCCGAAACAGAGGAGTTGGTGAGCAGATTATCCCTAGATTACAGCACGGCTGTACTTTTTCATCATCATTTCCGCATGTAGGCAGGCTTGCCTCCAAAACATTGCTCATATGCCACCCGGTTACATAACTATTGGCAGATACGAGTTGGAATTTGGCATCAGCACCTGTACACTTGTGACGAACCGTCACACGTGCATCGTTGATCCAACATATCGGCGCTTTGTTCCCACTGTTGGCCGTTGAGGCCGTTGACAGTTTGCCCGGCATGCAGTCCTTGGATCAAGGCCTGGCGCCGGATTTTGATGAGTTTTTTTGCCGCGAATGTTTTTTGGATGCTAAATATCGCTAGAAACTTGTGGATGATTGTTCATGGTCATTGACCGCGCTTGGTAGGTGGTCGACATACTCAATGCACATATTCCCTGAGAGCAACCAGGGTATTTGGAAGACTCCTTTCCTCGTGAGAAAACCTGTTTTAACTCTCACTTTGATTATCGACCCACGATAGATCCATACCAAGAAGTCCACCATGCTTGAGTTCTGGCGCAACCACCAGCTGTTCGTGTAATGGTTGGGGTTGGCTGATTCAAAGAGGATCAAAGCGAGGCCCTCCGCCAGCTGCCAACGTGGAAGTGTCCATGCCTTGGAGCGGTGGGTCGTCAGAGTTGGTTCAGCCAAAGGTCATCAATCTGGTTATAAATTTCTTGGATATGGCCAGGAGTCAAAGATAGGGAAGTAGTTGTGGCCTACAATACAAGATTTACTGGGAAGGTTGTATTGCTATAATGGGAAGCCGTCCAGTTTGGAGGTGAGTGATTTTGACAGCTAGTGCATTCATGAAGACATGTTGACAACTACTATATAGCACTTTTCATTGATGCTTGATGACGATCCTGCTAGTCATCAAGCGTTGAGTCATGGGTAATCATGACTAGTCAGGCATGTCTCTGATGATCCAAAATTTGATTTACCGTCACGGACGGTGAAACATATCTGTCATGGTGCGATGAAATTGGATTATCGCGTTCAACGAGGGGATTAAAATATTTGTTGAAATATGTTTTGCTGCTGCGTATTGATGGCGGCGTTGGTTTTATGTATACTAGCTTATACTTATGATTATGATTCCTGATCACAGTTTTAAATCGCCAACATTAACGCAACGAGAATCTTACATCATGGTTGGGAATCATTGATGATGCGGATTGTTCAACAACCGGTCACCAACGTCACACGATGTGCTTGGTATCGACCCTTCAAACATTGGCAGATGAGTGTTGATCGCAGGCCCCTGAACCAACCAAAACGATAACAAAGAATCTGACATCCAAAATTGAAACGGACGAACCGTTGGTCCGAAGCTTGATTTTCAGGGCCCATCCTCCTCTGCTTATGAGAACATGTCACAAATTCGCATAGTTTGTGCCGGAATGTTCAGGGTAAATTGCCAGTGGCTTAGTGCATAATGATGGTATGATAGTGGCATATATGGCATAACGGGGTGCAATGATATAGTAATGATGCGGGCTCTGATTGTGGTAATACATTGCTTGCCGTGGATTGCCGAGGAAATTGGCTTCCGTGTCTTTGAGCACATCATGCTCCAGTCCCAAAGCCCAGCCACTGAAGCTGTGGGACGATGCGTCCTGATTTCCCAATGGGTTTGCGCAGTGTTGAGATAGCGGAAAACCATCCGTGCGCCAATTTGTTGTGGATGGTGAACCTGTATATCTGATAGCCTTTTTTTGCTTGAAGAGACAGGGTCAGGGTTGGTCACATCGGGAGCTTTAACCAGAGCTATTGAGATGTTTGCGCCAAGGCCTTCGAAGTGACAGGTGCACAGCGGTGAATCTGACAGGTTGGGAGAGCTGAGACACTGGTGAGAGGTTTGGCGCGTCAACAAACCAGTGGTTGGTGGATGATATACTTTGTCATTCATGGTGATGCTGTGTTGATTGATTTGTTTGTGGTTGACGGTGATATTGATAGTGCGGGGGCGTAGTTGGGCAAGATTTTTTTGCTTTTTTGCTTGTTGGCTGAATTGTTGATCAACAGTTTGCTCATGTTGTGTTGATGCTTGGAATCGATTTGGTGGAGTTTGGGAACGGTGCCCCGGTTGATTGTTGGCTCACCGTTCACATTCACTGATGGGTTTCCAGAAGGTCAAGATGTGATTAAAGGGTGTTGACAATGCTGTCCGCAAACAAACTGAGAGCGCATGCCAAAGCTTTGGAGCATCTGTCATCGCTGACCCCAAGGTTTTGTGGCTGAGTTTTTTGATTCCTAGACGTTGTAAACTTGTTTGTCTGCAGCCGATTGTTGTCCCCAAAAAATGGAGCTTCCAGCATTCGAGGTTCAATATGTCTTCCAAGCCAACAAGCATAGACAATGTGAGCCTGCATTGAAAATCCAGCTTCTGCAACCAAACACAATCGCCAACAAATGATTCCCATAGAACCATCCTTAAATAACCACTACTCATATGTTTGAGGGCGATGGCTGGGTACCTGTTAGTGGCATTGCTCCAGGCCCCAACGCCCCTGAGAAAAATTTGAAAGAGAATGAGGCGCGTGGATTTTTCACGCTTTGTTGGTACCTGGTTGGTCATACCATGAGCTGTTGAAGATAGCTGGCTCATTGGGTGCTAGTGATGAGTCACGATCCGCAGTGTCCGGTCTAAATTATTTTTTGTTTCGTTTTCGTGCTTCGTTTTTCGTTTTCGTTTTTCGCGTACTGAAAAAGAAAATAAATGGCGATGCTCAAAAGTTCCTTTCATTTGCAGTGCAAATATGTCAGTGTTTCATGGTGATTAATGTGATAATCGCGTTTATTGGGCACGGATCTCGGCAAACGTCGCATCGATCGTGAGCGAGGCTCATTAATATAACGTTATGATTAATCGTTATTCGTGCTCACGGAAGAATCAACATTGATCGCTTTTCACACGTGAATGCGCGATTTTTCAGGAGCATCGTAGTATTCACTTTTACACAATATGCATACAGTTTATGGACAAACTCCTGCACCACATGGGAGGTATAAAACAGCAAAGATAATGGGATGGACCAGCTACTAGCCAGCGCAGGTTTCTGTCCATACATACATACATATATACATATACATATGCATATACATATATACATATACAGTATACAGTATACAGTATACAGTATACAGTATACAGTATACAGTATACAGTATACAGTATACAGTATACAGTATACATATACATATACATATACATATACATATATACATATACATATACATATACATATATACATATACATATACATATACATACATATACATACATACACATACATACACATACATACATACATACATACATACATACATACATTGCGAATGGGGTATAGACGAAACATCAAGTCTAACATCCCACATGCAGTTCCATATACAATCCAGCCAAACGGTCTCCGCAATGGTTGACCTAACATGGAAATTTCAAGGAAAACGGGTTCCAGGTTAACCTTCAAATCACCCTTCAAGGTTGCAGATCGCTTTGTGATAACTTGTTCAAAGTCCGTGTTGGCTGTTTCAGGGTGCAGTTTGGGTTCAGTTTGGGCCTGCATTGGGTTCCATGTCAGTTTTTGAGTGATTTTATTTGAAAAAGTTAGTTGCATGATTTCCTGAGGAACAAAATCCACTTGAGACCGTACCATAGGTTCAAGCTAGGAGACCTATGGAATAGCATGCAGGTGTGTGTATATATATATATTAATGTAGTGTGGTTCAATGTGATGTGATGTGATGTGATAAAACTGACATATGATACCTGGTACATGAGAAGTGATATTTGACATATTAGTTGGTATTGGGCAATATAATTAGTACATATGTATACCAGTAGTACCGCACAAGGCGGTGGCGGAAGTTTCAAAGATAGTAAACCTATAGGAGAGGTTGGTTGTTGTGAATCACGGTTGGCAGAGCGAATCCACTGATGGACCGAAAGGTGGTTGGAGTTGTGTTTCTGGAGTGGCTGCAATGGTTGCAGTGGTCACCTCACCACAACTGCTGGATGTAGTGTGGTGTAGTGCAGTTGTGGTTGTAGGTGTAGTTGTAGTTGTGGAGTTGTAGTTTTTAGTTGTAGTTGTAAAGCAGTGTAATTAGTGTAGTGTAGTTGCAGTTGCAGTTGTAGTTGTGGTGTGGTGTAAGTAGTGTAGTGCATTGTAGTGTACTGTAGTGTTGTGTGCTGTAGCGTGGTATAGTGTAGTGTAGTCTAGTGTATTGTAGTGTAAAGTAGTGTAGCTGTAGTTGTAGTGTAGTGTCGTGTAGTGCAATGTAGTGGTAGTTGCAGTTGTAGTGTAATGTAATGTAATTAGTGTAGCGTAGTGTTGTGTAATGTAGTGTAGTTGTAGTTGTATTTGTATTTGTAGCTGTAATGTACTGCAGTTTAATTAGTGTATTGTAGTGTAGTGTAGGTGCAATTGTTGGTGGTGGTGGTGGTGGTGGTCGTAGCCGTAGCCGTAGCCGTAGTCGTAGTCGCAGTCGTAATCGTAGTCGTAGTAGTAGTAGTCGTAGTAGTAGTAGTAGTAGTCGTGGTGGTGGTGGTGGTGGTGGTCGTGGTAGTAGTAGTAGTAGTAGTAGTAGTAGTAGTAGTAGTAGTAGTAGTAGTAGTAGTTGCTGTTGTAGTAGTTGTAGTGTAATTTGCGTAGTGTAGCGTAATTAGATGTAATTAGTGTAGCGTTGTGTAATCAGTGTTGTGTAATGTAGCGTAGTATTTTTGTACTTGTAGTAGTAGTAGTAGTAGTAGTAGTAGTAGTAGTAGTAGTAGTAGTAGTAGTAGTAGTAGTAGTGTAGTGTAGTGGTACTTGTAGTTGTAGTTGTCTGTCTATCTATCTGTCTATCTGCAAGCTTGAAAACGAAGCTACTCTGAGAGACTTCCTCAGTTTTTCGAAGATTTCGAAGTTGACAACACCAAAAACGAAGCAATTCTGCGAGACTTCCTCATTTTTCGAAGATTTCGAAGCTGACAACATCAAAAACGAAGCAATTCTGCGAGACTTCCTTCAAATGTGAAAGTTGATTGCAGAGCTGACGGCCTTGTGCCAATGCATTTTGCGATTTTTCCAGTCCACCTGTCTAAAGTACTGCGCCTGCCACGAAAAAGTGATGCCAGGTCATACGCAGTGCTGCACCTGTCACGCAAAATCATTTCACAGCAAACCTGAAGATCCGATGCTCCAAAATGCAACCCTTCTCAGGAAATCAGCGCCCGGACCTCTTAACAGCTCTGATGAACATGTCTCTTGTACTGCGCCTGCCACAGAAAATGCCTCTTTGCAGATCTTCTTCAAGGTGCACAGTCCCTCGCCCCTGCCATGCGAAACGACATCTGAACGTTCAAAAGTGGTCCGAGCATGTGGTGTCTTTAATATTTTGACTTCGAAATGTGCTTCGCGCTTCGACATCACAACTTCCAGAAGTGGTCCGGAGCTGGTGTGTTTCGTACATTTTGACTTTGAAATGTGCTTCGCGCCACAACGGCGTTCACTTTTTCAACATCACAACTTCCAAAAGTGTTCCGGAGCTGCTGTGTTTTGTACATTTTGACTTCCAAATGTGATCCGCGCCACAACGGCGTGCACTTTTTCGCATCTCAACTTCCAAAAGTGCTCCGGAGCTGGTGTGTTTTGTACGTTTTGACTTCCAAATGTGCTTCGCGCCACAACGGCGTGCACTTTTTCGCATTTCAACTTCCAAAAGTGGTCCGAACATGAGGTGTTTTGCGCATTTTGACTTGGAAATGTGCTTCGCGCCACCACGGCGTGCGATTTTTCATCTCTCATTTGGCCAGCTGGCTCCGCACCCGCCGCTTTAGCAAGCCTACTTTTCGACCCTTCTGAGCCACAGATCATTGGAAAAAAACAGTGTTTCGCGACTTTCTTACCTTTTCGCGCACCTGGATCTTCTTTCTTCTTAGACTTTCTCTTTTTGAGCTTCTTTCTTCTTCTCTTCTCTTCTCTTCTCTCCTCTCCTCTCCTCTTCTCTTCTCTTCCCTTCACTTCCCTTCCCTTCCCTTCCCTTCTCTTCTCTCCTCTCCTCTCCTCTCCTCTTCTCTTCTCTTCCCTTCCCTTCCCTTCCCTTCGCTTCTCTTCTCTTCTCTTCTCTTCTCTGACTCTTCCCATCGCTGCTTTTTTCATCTGTCCATATTGTCGGAAGTTTGACTTCTAAACTTCCTTCGGTAAGCATACAGCATACATATAGACGACACAGCATATTGTGGTGGCCAATGGCTTGTGCGTTTTCTGGTTAAACATGGCTGTTGCCTCAAGCTCCGTGCTTTGTGCTGCTCAGGTGGGGTCTTATTCTGTTCTTCATTCTGCTGGCATCAATCACCATTATGCAGCTGATTCTTGCGCGGTCGGGCCAGATGTTATTTGATCCACAAAGGAACATGTGGGGACAGGTAGAGGGTGAAAACATATTTTCAATATCTTCACTTTTTTTGATAGGTACAGCAAACCGTTAGATAAGAAACGAATAAGAACTTTCTAGCCTACCCTGAAAATCTTAAGTCCTATTTGTCGAAAATTGTGAAATTGTGAATGAGGGTACCCTTAATTCTTAAGGGGTTCGTTCTTCATGTTCATTTAGGGGTGCAGTTCCATTGAAAAATAGATAATACAACCGCTTGGCGGCTGAGCTGTCCTTGCAAGAATCAGGGAGACTTGTTCCAGCTACGCTTGGATCTGGCCTTGGTTGCTGAGGCGCTGCTGAACCACCGAAACCAGCGAACCCTAGGGTTCTTATTTCAATTGCCAGTAGATAGGAGTGAATCCAGCAATCCAGCCCTTGAAATTCTTAATGCACTGGGTTCTTAAACAGTGGTTTCACTGTAAATCATCATAAATCATCTATCAATGGGCCATTTTCCATAGCTATGTTAAATAACCAAAAGGTAAATATACAGCAACCACCAAGGTGCACAGTATATTTGCGAGCATTTGAATGCAGCATTTGCCTTACATGTAACCCAAATGTAGATAGATAATCGAAGATAAGTGGAGCAAATGGGGTTGGTCGAGATTACAGTATAGTGGGTTACAGCCGGTTATAGCCAACAGGTTGGGCTCTCTGAGCCCAGAAAACTGGATTTCCCCAAATACGGTCAGTCAGGAAATCCCTAATAAATGAAGGTTAATAGGAAATTCATCTATATAACTACAGGAAAATCCATGGCCATGTTTGATTAGAGAGTTTTTTTATACAGGAAGCTTTTTTGGCCCTGGTTCTAGGCGTGCTCATGGATGGAAAAACATAAAAACATCAGTTTTACTGTGGGTTTTGCAAAATTTGCTCCCAATCCCAAGCGTTCTATGTCAACGGGCTGTCGACCAAATGTAGGACAATTGCATGGTTGTTTTGCCATCAAGAGCTTGGTGAATTCGGAGCAAAAACATGATCACCTACTCACCTACTCTGGGCTCATAATTCTAGAACTGCTCGATTGTTTTCTCAATCTGATTTGATTACTTTTGGAACCTGTTTGGGATAATAAATCTACTAATGAAATCTCTGATATTTTGGGAATGTCTTGAAACCACCAGATCCAGGAATCCGACACATTTTCAGGGCTGCTGTCGTTCTCTTCGCTATGAGGTATATGCTTGTGGGGGTCCTGGTAGAGGTGGTCGGTGTTTTGGCCCATGCCGAGCGCCTGGCCGTAATTCATTGAATGGGCGAGGGATCACATGGGTTCGGATAGGAATATTCCTGAATAAAGAAAAAGGTGGAACATCTCTTGATTGCAGGTATGGGCTTCAACATATTTCTGATTTGTGAGTTACTACGGTTCCCTAGTCAAGATTCAAGGTAAGTGGGGTCACACGTTCAATAATATCATGAGTCTACCAATCGACTTTCACTCAACTGCTAATTCTGTTTAGGTATCACCAGAACAGAACAAACTACCCATATTCTTCGAAGGTTCCAACATTCCAATCCCATTCAATCCCTTCCCCCACTATTGAATAAATACTTCCTGAGAAAGGCTGGAATAGTATTAGATCCTTTCATGACTTGAGGTCGTATATCGGGGGCACTCAATCGGGCGATGGGATTACTGAGGCTTCATTATGGTAATTAACAGGTTTTTTCACCCCATGTTATCCAATGAATGGTTGACCCATAGGAATAAAACAGTTTCTGCTCATATCACCCAGTGCATGGGTTTGATATGTCATCCCCATTGGTTGATTGTGAAATCATTGTTCTCATCCATGTGTTTGAAGAACAGATTTACATTAACATAAATATAAAGAATTATCAATTATCCCTCAGTTTCCTGACAATCCCAATCCCAAATTGGCAGGAAAGAGAACATCACTGCTGCCTGGCATATGATCGTGGTTTCTGACAATTTTGTGGACCCCAAAATCATCCCAAAACGTTGCTTTGCAATAGAACAACCCATTGGAAACTGCAGTTTAAGAAGTGGACTCCTGAGAATCCTGATACATCTTTATCATATATGATCATTTCATCCCACAGAACGATGTTCTTTGTTTAAAAAAAATCATTGGGGGGTCAACTGTCAACTACTCACCATATCAGTCACTAGCTTCATCATCCCATTGGTGTCTCCAATGTTTTTCCATTAAGACTGCGAACATTGCGATATTATATATATACATACGTATATATAATATATATATATTATATATATATGTATCATACAATGTCATAAATAGTCACATCATATTTTTGCAAAACACACTTGTTGTCACTTGTTGTCGGATCCTGTGGATCCACTGCACCTCCTGCCCTCCACGGGGCCTAGGTGTCCTTCATCGCGTCTTCCCTGAGGAAAAAGATGCAGCAACAAGGGCACGACCAGGATGGGCTGACGATGACAACATGAACCAATTTGGTTTCAACTGCCACCGTGATGTTGACAGTTCATCATGGTCATCAAATTTCGATCGATAAAAGTGACCAGATCACTTTTCTTTTTCATTTTTCGGAAAGTCTTGTGGGAATGTAAGTGTTCAGCCCAACCGAAAAGCAGCAGCTGGTGCTAGATCCATCTAGATCCAGTAGTGACTGGAACTGGTAGAGAACCCCTGAGGCCCTGCGTGTCATATTTGCGTTTGGGTTCTATCTGGTTTTTAACCATGGATCTGCATTACTCATCTGTATGTTTAAACACAAACTTGTGGCTGACACTGATGTTGCGCAGGACTCTGAGCTCAGTAGAACTGAACTGCAAGATATCCTGCTAGATCCAGAGATTACAGAGGTGCCATTGCCTCGGTGGGGTGAGCCACTGGTCACTGGTTGGTTATACATCCGTATACATCCGTATACATCCGTATAGCGGCTATAGCGTATATCATTGTTGGGTATAAGGGATGATACTAAGTAGACTAGCGATTCTAAGTAGACTAGCGATTGGGGATGATAGGCCAGAATTCACGAAATACCTGTGAAATGTGAAGCAACTAAATTATGAATGGGATGGGATGGAGGTATTTCTCATGGCTCACTTGTTTCAGGACAGCTCCCAGATTTTTGTTTGGGGGTTGCTGCACATTTTGTGTGGATGCTGATAGATGCTGATAGATGTTGATCGACCGTGGAGGGTGCATGTGTCAGCCGCCAACCAGATCACCGTTCACCATTTGGGCTTGTTGAAAAAGAGTGCATCCGAACAGTTCGGTTGATCATTGTGTTCTCACCAAAACCACTATATTTTACGGGTATCCCGGTATCCCTCATGTTTATAAGGACGAAGTCATTGGCATCAGAATTCTGGGAACATGATATCGCCACACCATCACAGCTTGGTACAGGTACTCCAGTCCGTGCAAGTTGATTTGAAACTTGGCTGCCTTTCCCAACAGCATCCTACATCTTCCGGCTGGCCTTCATGATTTTCAGGAACAAACACATTTGTCAAACATTGATTAATGTAAACGGACGCCCACATATCTTATTAGTCCATATTGATTCTTAATTGATATAAATATAAATTGTCTAAAACATGAGCATTTTAAAACTTAGGTGCTTGAAAATAAAGGCCTTGAAGATTCCCAGGTCCAAATTCAGCAGTCAGGTCACTAAAGATGGTGGGCGGGTTGCCCCCAGCAATGGGACTTCGCCCAGGGTTGCATTGATGGAGTTGGTGAACATTGCCTATGAAGACGCGGAGAAGAACGGCGGTTCCATGACTTTTGAGAAGCCACTTGGTGCGAGCGGTTGGGACGGTGGGAGCAATAGATTGGTGTTGATTTCTCCAGGCAAGTCTTGTTCGAATCTTGGAGATGATGGTGATATTTCATCATTTTACTCACTGAATATGTGAGGCACTTTGCCGCCTTATATTGGTTTCGGGGGTCGCTGACGGGGTACCCCATGGTACCCCAAGAAATGTTCATGACTGGATGATGATGAACAGGACACTGGATGATACTGTTCCGCATATATATATACATGTATATACATCACCCTTTCAAGAACTACCTGTGTGCACCTTTTACGGTTATTTATTGTACCGTGTTAATCCCATACTTTGAATCATCATCTTTCCCCATTTTTCAGCACCGGGCCATGTGTGAATGGATAAGGTGGATGGTACTGGTATCACATGGCATCACCTATCCCCCAGTACTCATGGCCATGGAACACCCCAAATTTACTCTTTAGAAATTCTTAAGCATTGAAGTATGATGATATATATATATATATATCATTACATATATAATATGACAAATAACATATATTATATATATATGTTCAAGGGACTGCTTCACTGCTTTTGTTTCTATACATATGTATATATATAATCATATATATATATGCATGATTATATATATATATGTATATATGTATGTATACACGTTGCTAAAGAGTACATTTTTCCTTGGGTATTTTGAAAGACAGATGATCGCAGAAGCGACCAAGGATCGTAAGTTTGGCTGCTTGACTTAGGGATGATGGGGCGATTGGCCGTCGATGCATGTTCCATGGGATACAAGAAATATAGTGGTGTTAGATACGTGATAGTGTGGTTTTAAACTGGACATGCTGATGGTTTGCTAGGGATCATACTCAAAGATCAAGCGGTGGATGATCAAGATTTCCACTAATCGGTTCATTCTGACAGAATTTGGCAATTGTTGGTGTATGGATGTTTGTTGACGTTGTCTACCATGAAGGAACTGTGCAAATTGACGTTTGTTCTCAAAAGGGTTTGTAGATTGTAGGTCTATGTCCATCAACACGATCAGGCAGTTGGTTTCCTGCCTTGCATGGCATTCTCGGAGGAAAAATACAGAGAACATGCCGCACAGAGCCTGAAATGGATCAAAACTGAAGTCAGATGCTGCAGGTGCATCTTAGTGCTATTTGGATGCATCATTTCCCAGGTCTTGAACGGCCGAGGGCAAAACACCGCCTCCGTGAAGGATACCTCTGAACTCCTCAGGAGCCGGAAAGTCTGGGGACCTCATTGGACATGAAATGTCGATGGTCAACGATGGTTAATGATGGTTAGTGAATGTCAATGATGGTTAAATGTCAGTTTTTTTAATCAGCACCCTCGATAAATCTGCCGAAGTGTAGTGCAGTAAATGCTCAGAAGATCTCAGATCCCAATTCAAAATGGGTAAATATAGTTGATGATCTCAGATCCCATATTTTTATACCATATATATGTATACTATGGCTTGCTGGCTCCTGGCTCCAGTGGTTTCCTTCTCCTGCGCACGGTCTGTGGCCCCATCGCTCCCATCGCCATGGCCCCGAGTTTGGAGACCTCTCCGCAGTATGTGGTCACTTCATGGCTGCCTGGGAAGATGCAACTGTTTCATGGACTGCACACCTGAGTTGATGATAGTTGATGATAGTTGATGATAGTTGTTGGTAGTTAAAGATAGTTGCTGATAGCTGGTGATAGTTGAATAAAGTTGAAGATAGTTGATGGTAGTTAAATATAGTTGATAGTTGAAGATGGTTGATGTTAGTTGATGATAGTTGATGATAGTTGATGATAGTTGTTGGTAGTTAAAGATAGTTGCTGATAGTTGGTGATAGTTGAATAAAGTTGAAGATAGTTGATGGTAGTTAATTATAGTTGATAGTTGAAGATGGTTGATGTTAGTTGATGATAGTTGATGATAGTTGATGATAGTTGATGATAGTTGATCATAGTTGATGATATACGATGATAGTGATGATAGTTGATGATAATTGATGATACTTGTTGGTAGTTGAAGATAGTTGATGATAGTTGATGATAGTTGAAGATAGTTGACGATAGTTGATGATACATGATGATAGTTGATGACAGCTGATGATAGTTGAAGACAGTTGATGATAGTTGAATATAGACTAATATAGTTGATGATGGTTGAAGATAGTTGGTGATATTTGATGATAGTTGCAGATAGTTGATGATAGTTTATGATATATAGCTGAAGATAGTTGATGATGGTTGAAGATAGTTGGTGATAGTTGAAGATGTTTGAAGATACTTGATCGTAGTTGATGATAGTTGATGATAGTTGATGATAGATGATGATAGTTGATGATAGTTGATGATAGTTGATGATGGTGATGATGATGGTGATGATGATGACCATGATGATGATAATGATGTTGATGATGATTATGATGATGATGATGATAGTCATGCAATGATACATTGGTTAACTATGTATAGTGGATGATAGTTGATGATAGTGAATCAGAGTTGATGATAGTTGATGATAGTTGATGGTAGGAGTTGATGAATACAATATGGGATTATACTTTCCAATAATTCATTGGCCATTTCAGGAACCTAAATTGGAGGTACCAACCATATACAATAAGGTGTATGTAAGGGCTATGCATGGGGATATACCCCAAAATATGGCCTTTATATGGTACAGTACCTCCAGTTTAGGTACCTGAAATGGCCATTGAACAATACCCAGCACATTGGGTATTACATATCATGATCCATTATTGGAATCCCTATCAACCAAGCAGTACGAATCGACCACATTGTGGGTTTTGAACACTGCTCATGTGAGTTGATGATACCCTCTGGTGAACTAACAGTTTGCTGTGGAAAATCACCATTTTTAATGGGTAAATCAAGTATTTCTATGGCCATGTTCAATAGCTACGTTAAATTACCAGAGGGTAAATGATGATAGTCCATGGATGTCCACGGTCGAGTCAGGAGTAAGACTGCCTTCGGCTGCCTTCTTTGGGATGCTCGAGGGTGTACCTTCCAGGGACCAACCAACTTCCGGCTGCACATGTCAGAGATCATCATGATCAGTGCTCATTGTTCCATATTTTACCATATTTTACCAAGTTTTACTTTATAGAATATTTTACCTATATATGACCTAGAATATCCTATGATATCCTATGAGTATCATATAATTCTCTTGGATCCCGCAAGTCTGGTGGATCAAATCCCACATCCCCATCTTGATCGCGCCGCTTGCACCCCAGGTTGCTGGACCCACGACTCCCAGACACTGCGGACTTGGAATCGGTGGCCATTCCACGGCCCCTGAATCTTGGCCATGGAATCTGATCGTTTCAGAGGGCCGTGAAAGGATGTAAAAGCTGAACATGATATAATATTATAAATATATATATATATACGATATAATATAAAATAATATACTGTGATATAATATAATATAATAAAATATAATATAATATAATATAACATAATATAATATAATATAATATAATATAATGAAATATAATATAATATAACATAATATAATTTGATATAACATAATATAATATAATATAATATAATAATATATATATAAAATAATATAACATAATATAATATAATTTAATACAATATAATATAATATAATATATATATAATATAAACTAATATATAATAATTTAATATAATATAATTCAATTCAATATAATATAATATAATAATATATTTATATATATATCAGATATAATATAATATATAATACAATATAATAATACATATATATACATATGATATAATGTAATATAATATAATATATAATATAATATATAATATAATATAATATAATACAATATATATTTGATATAATATAATATATAATACAATATATATTTGATATAATTTAATATATAGTAATATATATATGATATAATATAATATATAATATACTTCAATATAATATACTATATAATGATATAATATAGTATAATTAATTTTTATATTTATATTTGTATTATATTATATTATATTAAATTATATTTCATATTATATTATATCATATATATATATATTATATTATATTATATTAAATTAAATTATATTATATTATATTATATATTAGTTTATATTATATATATATTATTTTATATTATATTATATTATATTATATTGTATTAAATTATATTATATTATGTTATATTATATTATATATAGATTATTATATTATATTATATTACGTTATATTATATTATATTATATTTCATTATATTATATTATATTTCATTATATTATACTATATTATATTATATTATATTGATATTGTATATTGTATATTGTGTATTATATATTATATATTATATATTATAATATGTATTATATATTTATATATATATATATTCTATATATGCGATATATTGATTTCACGGTCCATCATCTCAGAAGAACCCAGTGAATCAGCAATACCTAGAATGGAAAGGTGATGCTAGATAACACGGCGTGATATTGATTTGTATGGATTTGTATTGAATTTGGGTGTATCTAATTGTGAAATGTTGTCATTATTGATTATGATTAATTATATGTGCATCTAGTTCGTTAAATGTATGCGGATCTAAATATTGGTACTAAATTACTATGATTATATAATATGTATTATATAGAGAAGATCTTTATGCACGAACCTAAGTACATCTGTAGACGTATTCAGCATCCCAGAGTCAGCTTCTGTTCACAACACTGCCATCATTGGCTCAGGAAGGTGGTCATCAGTTCCATCGCAGACGTGAGGACTGGAAACCATCCGAAGCTTCGCTGCCGGCAGCGCCACGGGTGCCACGGGGGATGCACAGTTGTGTTGATCCGTTGATGGTTCGGGTCTATACATGTTTCTACATGTCCTAGGGATGATTCTGAGCAATTCCAAAATTCTCTATTCACCAACCAAGACAAGGCGTGCACCAGATGAACCTGGGTTAGCACGTAGAGGTTAGACTGTTTGTTGATGCTCCAGATGCAGCCGATGAGGATTGTAATGATGATGCTGATGATATTGATAGTGACATACCCATATATTACATCTACAGTATATGCGCTGATGACATTGATACAGATACATTGTCGACTACAGACATTTCTAGGGTAGAGATTTACTATCGTCCTAGATTCCCGTAGATTCCGGTCCAGCCTGCGCTGAGGAGATACCCAAGGCTTCCATTTCACTTTTCGGATGAGCTCCTCAAACGTGCCAAGAAAGAAGAAAAAGAACCTGTGGATGTCGCTTCAGTGACTTAGCCGGAAGATGCTGGAAGGGTGGATGAGAATCCCTTTGAGTTTCCTGCTTCAAACTGGCGAGAGAAAGTGGCCCAAAACAGGAGAGATTGAAGTCATTGGATTGTTAAATTGGTATAAATTGGTGACCTCTACTGAAACCGCCTTTCTTGTTGAGCCAAGCAGCTCTTAGAAGTTGTGAATCACCATAGGTATCATTAGATATCCATAAAATTGTCACGGATATTTAAGGATAAAGATGGGGTTTGGTATGCTATCATTGTCCTTTTACACTTCGTACCTTGCTGGCATGAATCTCGTCGCTGAGGGATCATCCCAGTACCTGTCTCTGGGTGCCCATTTTCAGACCTCATATCATCTTCAGTTGGTTGCATATGCATATCCCATGAAACTAGAAGATCCCCATGAAAATACTATCCCATATACATTCCATGGGGGCCTTCGATTCATGGATTCATGGCCATCAGGATCATCGCCCCTTGCCCTCCGTGGCGGAACTCATCAGTGCTTTGGCACCTGCCTGGTATCAAGACGAAGGCTCGATGGAGCAGAACACCGGGCTGAAGGGACCTCCAATGCGGGGGGGCCTGGGAAGTTTCGCCAACGACCACGGGAAAGTTGTTGGTGTCAGTAGAAATCAAACAGGGCTGGGATGATGACCCCTGCTGACCAATATTTTTGGGCAAATTGGAGCGACCTCAGCCGCCCGGTTTGGGGGCAGCTCACATGGGATTGGGACGACAACAACAACAACAACAACAGCAATGGGAGTCAAGCTCCTGTGATTCAGATGGCAAACAAATGCACCCACGAGTATCAACACACACACACACACATGGACATGGAAGTTGACCCAGGGATGCTCATCCAGAAATGGCTGGATAGTTCACTGGCTGGGCAATAAATGGTGATAATCCTTTATACCAGGTAGTGTATAACCCCTAATAATCTCAAGTGAGCATGGTTTGGGTCACTGCTCATTAGGATGATGCGAATGGAAGGTTGCCATGCATTTTGCGTTGCCATGTTAGATACCACAGTGTTTGCAGTTTGCGATCATGCAAGTTTTACCATCGAATCAATCATGTTTGAGCACACAATCCACGCAATTAATGAACATATTTCAAATACCAGAAACTGTGGTTTCTTTGTTTCCTTGCCATGTGCTGCAAATACCTCCAACCATTCCAATCGAACCCGATGATGCCCCAATCGTTAGATGTTCGTTCATTTGAGTGCACGGAATATATAGAACAGGAAAAATGTCGATGGTTCCAAGAAATGGGTGATCCAACAAACGGATACAAACTGGAGACAGAAGGCTGCCGAGAACACATGAAATTGAAATGGCTGGTTACAATCATTTGGGGATTTTGTTTGGACATATGTTCGGCAAAATGCTTTGCAGAAACCATCAGAAACCCAATATTCGCTGGTTGCACCCAACCCCTATGAATCATTACATCAGTTCTTGTTGGCTCAGTGCTGAGCAGATGGAGGTCTCAGGTCTCACTATCCAGGAACAGCAGCAATACCTTCGGACCCGCCCCACAGATTGACTGTAGTGGATTTGTTTGCATTCACATGCTCGAAGAATCTTGTTAGAAGGCTCTAGAACTACTTGGTCGGGCGCTCATAGATGGCCGTATGGTTTCGTGCACTGTCTCAGTTTTGACACAAATGTATGAATGGTGATATGGCAAATCCTCCACGCTGGCCATTCGAAATGCATGTACAGCTTCACATGTCCATGTTCATATCTTGGCGTGTCATATTTTGACGTCGAAAAAAACTACTTCAGTTGAGACACTTTCAGGTGTATTTACTTCAGTGCATGACTTTTATTTTCATCCACCTTTAATCTGCAAAAAATCGAGACAGTTGCTCGAGAACCTCGCTTGGATTCTTTCCCAAAAGTGCATGGTTTCTCCATGCCCATTGAAACACTTCTAAAGACACATGCTCATGCAAGGTTGCATCATCTCCTTTTTTATGTTTTCAAAAAAACAGGAAATTCAAGGAAAAAGATGTGTTGAATTCCAAGAAAAGATCTCATGACGTACCATCCCAGATGTGTTGAATTCCAAGAAAAGATCTCATGACGTACCATCCCAGATGTGTTGAATTCCCAGAAAAGATCTCATGACGTACCATCCCAGATGTGTTGAATTCCAAGAAAAGATCTCATGACGTACCATCCCAGATGTGTTGAATTCCAAGAAAAGATCTCATGACGTACCATCCCAGATGTGTTGAATTCCCAGAAAAGATCTCATGACGTACCATCCCAGATGTGTTGAATTCCAAGAAAAGATCTCATGACGTACCATCCCAGATGTGTTGAATTCCAAGAAAAGATCTCATGACATAACATCCCAGATGTGTTCAAGTCCAAAGAACGTTATTACATCCCCCCCCCCCCCCCCACCCCCCACCCCCCCAACCAACACCACGCCAAAAAAAACAACAAAAAATGACAAAAAAAGAGGTTTCACTGAGGCGAAACACAAAAAAAAAGGAAAAAATGCGCTCTCGCTGTGGCGCCAGTGCAGTGAACTAGCAAAAACACTGTTTCGTGACGCGGCCTTCTGCGCGCGCCCAGCCAACTACTTGATTTTTGCTGCCCTGCAAAGTTGTTCTGATAGTGCTCTTGATGTTTTGAAGCTCGGGACTTGAAACCTAATACGTACCACATACAAAGTACACCCTATAATTGCTTCAGGAAAGATCAGGACTTTCTAACTTACCATGGGCAAACATCTGATTTTGCTATTTGGCTTGGCTCAATCGACAACGGCATGCCAACTTCAGTAGCCCTGTTATTGTCACCATTTTTGGCACGCAGAGCAGGAACCACCATGATGGTCAAGAACATTCCAAACCGTTTTTTGTCGGCAGGGTCGGCAGGGTCGGCAGGGTCCAGAAATAGTCAGGCTACAGATGGCTACAGGGAAATTAAAGGCTGGTTGGTGGTTTGGAACATTTTTTATTTTCCATAGTATATGGGATAATCCTTATCATTGACTAATATTTTTCAGAGGGGTTGAAACCAGCAACCAGAAGGTCTTGTGATGTGGATTTGAGTGAGTCACACCAATGTGGATAGCCAACCAAAGATTTGATGGTTGACTATGGTTGATAAGTATCCTTTATGGCTGATGGTAATTATGATATGATATACCATGGTAATATCAACCATAATACCATTTTTATGTTTGCAATGCACATGGTATTAAACTGGTAATATGCATAAAATGGATTAACATGGTCATGTGTAATAAAATTAAATCATCAATGACAATTTTATAATTTTTATCAACCACTTCAACGAATCCCCTTTGGCTTGGAGTGAAGATCGTGAAGGCCCTTTTAGTGTCACTGGCCATCAGTAGGGTTAATTAGTCCAGTTGTAGGGAAAATCATGGGATTGATTGTTACTGGGTTATAACCTGCATCAAGTGGGCGAAAAAAAACGCCCCTTATACTGTTTCCAAAGAAAAGCTCCCAAGTGGTACTCGTACGATTTGAAACTACGAACTAGGGGTCAATCATTGGTTTTCTGGGCAGTGTGAGTGCCATGGTGCACGTTTCAAACAGGTATCCACTCCAGACAGTCCATACCCGCCATGACCTTCATATTAGGATGTTTGGCAATCGCTGGCTGAACGCCTGCCTCGATTGGTTTGTGGACGTTCCATTAATCATTCTAAGTTATGACAGGTCGAGGGGTGATCGTCTCAAACAAATTGGCTAGGGTCTTGTAGTCCTGCATTGACATTGTCCGGGGTATTCCAGGGTTGACAAAGGTTGGGATGGCAGTGATTATTGTTTGAATACCCACTTTTGTTGTAGATGCTCATGTTGTTGGTTTTAAATAAAGGTGTCTTTTAATCAAGGTACGAGGCTTGATTATGATATGTATATAGTATACATGCGATTGATGACACTTATAATATACTATATATTTTCACTGTGGATACCGATGTGTAAAGATATATCCCAGTCACCTGTATCACACCTGCAGTTTCGTTTCTAGTAGTGGCATGAACGTAAACATTGCCAATCATATACCAAACAAAACAACAAACTGAGCATTAAGAACAATGTGTAATTACGCGATCAGGATGGTACAGTTTCTATATTCATCAACGTTTCCGGACTCATGAACCCTGGTTGATGGATCTGGGGGTACCCAACAAGAACAATCATTCGCTACCAAAATGATATTCCCCAACTAAACAGTGGTGTACTTCCCCTGGTTTTATTGTTGCCGTACACTCCATGGAATGTCTACATCGCCCAAAAATAACCCAAATATACCAGCAATATACTAGCAACACGAAGCATCTAGGGTTGGTATTGCCTCTAAGTCCTCCAGTAGCCCAGGCTATACAACGGAGCAGATTCTAGAAGAGTTGCATGCGAGAGGCCCCTGGGGCGGCACAGTCAGGCACTGGTTTTTGGCGGCTACATTGGGGAACATCAGATGAACATGCGGAACAAACAGAGCGAAGCAGCAGAAAAAGGGAACCTTCATTGTTCAATGCTGATACTGCTTGCATTATAGCTTCCTTCAAAAATAATCCCTGTGTGGCAGCCTTTAATTTGGGTTTGGGTTTATTTTTGGTGCCGACCAATCATCAGGCTAGGCCAATATCGAAGACTTGCCACTTATATTGGGATAACATCAACAATGAGGTACGTGGCTGGCTGGAGGATTCAGACATGACATGTCAACTTGTTATAATTTTGCCATGATCGGGATTCTTTAGGGTGATTCCACCAAGTATATATATATATGCATATATATATAACCCACCCTATACTCACCCTTCCGGGAGGGTGAGTGCTATTTTCACTCAACCAAAAAGTCAGGAACAAAATGCAGGAAACCCTCAGTCTTGATAGGAAAAAGCATGGCTTCCATTAGTTTCCTGTAGATGTTCCCTTAAATCAACCCAACTCGGAAATCGATCTCTGAGGCTTCTCTGGAAGCTTTGATTTCCTGTATCTTCCGATGGATTTTGAGTCCAAAAGGAACAAGGCACGGGACCCTTTTCGGAAAAACATCCTCACATCCTGGCGACCATCCAGGTATATATTACATTAGATGTAGTTATATATATATATATATATTATAGTTATATATATATAATATACACATGTGATAGACATGTATATGGCTATATCGGTGTACATATATATATAGTTATATATATAATATAATTATATATATATAATCCACTAGTAGATGGTTCCAGATGTTTATACAATCAGGATGGGGCTTCATTCACGGGAATAAATATGATTCAAAAACATTCAAAAATTCCGTCAGAACTATTTGACCCTCAAGTACTGGCTGGTTCAACCACTGGTTCTTCCGGCCGGTTGACCAGCCTGGCGACCAGCCTGGCTCGTGGCTGTTGGTACCTCTGAAGCCCACTTGGCGCAGGGCTACTTCTTCTTGAACCTTCGCACCCACCAGTTGGCTCAAATCTTCACCGATGTCTTCTCCAGACACTGCTTCAACAGGCGCAAGGGAAGCATAGGGAAGCGTAGGGAAGCTGCGGTAGCGGCTCTTCAGAATGGCTGAAGGGTCATGAGTGTCATGAGTTGATGGTTTCACACTCGTTGAGATCTTCCCGTCCTAAGATGATGGTGATCTGAAATGTGTTTGTTCAGGCGTTGAAATATGTTGAAATCACCAAGCAGTAATGTGCGTCCTCAAAATGTGAGATTTGAAGCACTACAAACCAGGGTCCATGGCAGTTGTTTCTGTCGAGCTTGAGAAAATGCTGTAAATTCCTGTATTTTTTTAAACAGTCTTTTTGGGCATGAGACACTTGATTCAATGAAGTTCCTCTGGATTCCTCACGCACATTGTTCAAAGATGTGCGAAGCAAATTGGAGAGTTTGATGTACATGGCTCACAATGCAAGTTCGCGTCCATTGAATATCTTTGATTCTTGGATTATTTCATCAGTTTAATCAGAAGTACACCCAAAGAATACGTTTGATTGAGTATACCCAATGTTTTATAGCGACGTTTGAGTTGCACCTCCCATGACAGGCATAGATCCAACAAGGTGCCAGAGGTTGCACTTGCAACAGTGCAGGGCTTCGAAAAGAACGTCTGGACGCTGGGCGACAAATGGAAGATGCGTCATGGGTTTGTGGGATGATGGAGCCACAGACAGAAGGTGACCAGGCTGGTGGGAGACATCAATGTCGAATGTCGATATTGATCTCCAGCATCAGATCGTGCAATGATGGTTTCAACATGGTTCAACATGTTTCAACATGTTTCAACATGTTTCAGCATGTTTCAACACATAATTTCGACGCATAATTTCGACATATTTCAACCTTGGGAAGCAGGACAATGTTTGGTGTCACATCCCTGAATGAAAAGGAATCATTTTTATCAGATATTCCTAGGATTTTGAACCACGTATGGATCAACCGTTGGGTGAACACTATCCGCCATGGTCCATCTCTTACAGGAAAACTATGTGGTTTGGGGCCCTGGGGATGTTTTTTTTTAATCACTATCCATTCTTTTCCTGTTTGCCAAGATTGACCAGCTTGATCCATTTTCGGAGTTGACACTTGCAGCCATGGTTTGCCCATCGCATGTTTGGAGCAGAAAGAGCTTCGAGGTTTCCAGGGAACATGTCCAGCAGAGGGAGCATCAGCAGGGCTAGACCGCCCCAGGAAGTACCTACAGCAGAGTGGCGAGCGCGTCGACAATCCGTGGTTCAAGCAACTGCTCTTTCGGCCCCACGAACTTCGGTTGCAATTGGAGAACGATTTCTGCAGGATCAGAAGCCCGGTGCCTTTATCAAGTCCAAGAAAAACTGCAAAATCACATTTATATATATCATAATATATCATTATATCACTGATATAATGTGTAAATATAATATAATGTAAAGAATCTGGCAAAAGTTCTTCCCACAATTGTCCCATGAAGTCGGGTATGGTCCCATGCCGTCCGTGCAGAGTTGGAACCATGACCTTCTTCTAATAGCGCTTAACCATCGTTCAGAGGCCCCTCGAATACCCTCGATATTGCTGTAACTGATTATGTCCCCTACTAACCCCCTAGTATCAGCTACTCCCATGGTTCAGAAATGCACCGATCCTAAAGTTGAGGTAATGGACATTTGGTAGGAGGACCCTACATTGGATGCTACACACATGTCAAAATTCAACGTCATGCATTTGTGAAATTTCTCTCGAATCAAAACCCAGTTTGCGGCCACACAATTATATACACAAATGACTTACCCAAAAATATGGAAACGAAGCATTAGCGACTCCGCATCCAACAGTTCCAAGGAGACGATTCCCGGCATTTGGACTTGCGTTACTTTTAGCGTGGACGCGCTCCCCGAGCCGCTGCGTTCCCGCGCCATCTCGGAGGGCCTCCCCAAACGCCGGAACCGCGGGAACGGGACGCCCTAAAGATGCACTGGAAACCATGGGGCCACTGACCCAGCCCACGGGGATGGTTTGGACATGTTTGGACAAATCAAACAAAGGGGTAGGTCTTGAATGGTCTTGAAACACATGTATCACCGTCAAAATGATGGGTCAAGCATGGTCCAAACGCGTCGGAAGCATGTTGAGTTGGTGTGCCCATTGGTTGAACTTGGTGCATCCTTGAATAGTGTGCAGCTGTCAGACTTCCTGAAGTGGCCACTATAGTATTTAGGTGAATTTTGCAACGACCTCACGCCACGACGTTGCTAGAATGACGGTGGTAGGATTGGGGGAAGCATCCACAAAAGAAATAGGCCCTATTTCTGGTTGGTGAATTATGATAATCTATCCAGAACCATGCATGCAGGTGTTGATATTTGTTGAAATGACAAGAAAGTAGTCTGTTTCCCAGACAATCCAAAGCTTGCACAGGTTTGATTTGTTGGTAGGTGAATGCACAACAGAGATCCTATGACATTGGAACTTAGCTAGTATGTGTTCACATACAGATACATACAGTACATATCATTACCACATGACTATTTCCGAGCATTTGCAGAAAAAATCAGAACACAATATAGAATACTGAAGACTTTGCTAAGATTTGGACAATGCGATCCTGAGATACTGTACCTCATACATCCTCATACTATATCTCATCCGAATGCCAGCGATGATGTTGTGAGTTAAAATTACGCTTCAGTGGCTTGGCAGATTTCCGGTGGTCTGGCAGCAGCGAGCCTTCCTTTTTCCGGTTAAGAGCTGGTTCAGTCAGGGGCTGTGCTTACGGCTCATGGCGGAACTTCCTGAATTCATGGATTCCTCCAGAGACTTTTCATGCTAATGCATGAGAGCAACAGTTCTGATGACTCACCGACTCACCCGATCAATGGCCGCTACAAACGTAGAACCAGCTACACGGCGCTACTAAAGCGCTTAGATATTCCCACACAAGAAATTGACACGCACGGACTTTAGACCTGTACTATTATGTTATATACTGCAGTCGTGAGATACCATTAGGTGCCTCCAATGTTGGTACCTGAAATAGATTCAAATTCAATCTCACAATTGTATGACCATTTTACTTGGGACCATCAATATTTGGGGGTTGTGGGGGTACCCAATTTTGAAAAATACCCACATGTCCGCTTACCAGATGTTGTGAAAACCATTACTGGTGACAGAGGCTCAGAGTGTACCAATTTCAACTGGGTGCAAAACCCTTTTGTATTATACGTACAATGTGTAGTATTATACTTTTGTATTAATAGACAACTGTATCCCTGTTCTCCTAGAAATGGATAGACATGGGTGGGTGGTCAGTAACAATCATCAACCATAACCATCCTAAAACGGCAGTTTTACTATTGGGTTTACTTCGTTATATAAATGTGCAAAATAGTATCTATGTAATAGATTATAATTACACATGAAACTGCATGTGGAACTGGTAGGTACCCAGCGCTGTACCACATCCAAGATCCCGACATGTGGTTTGCTGTTGGGGTCAAAAACAAATTGAGTGCAGTAGGAGGCAGAACGTAGATCACTGAGCAGTTTTTTAATTTAGGAGTGGCCATGTGATGAGCACAAAGGACACATGGATACACATGGAAAATCATGGAAAAAACAGCGCATGGCGCTTTTGCTATGTGTAATGTCAAGATTCAAAGCGTGTTGGGTCTCCAATTTCATGGTCAAAATACTCAGCCAGAATCTACCGGAGACCTCGGCATTTGCAGATTTTAATTAAATATGGAATTATACTGTAAAATTTTATATTTGGGATTTCTTGAAAGGATGGTACCCCCAAGGGCCCAAGAATTGTCCCATTTGTGAATATATATATATATGTTTGTGGGGAAACCAATGGTTTGGAGGTCTCCCATTTTCAGCAAACCCAAATCTGAAGGTAGAAATCACCTCATTTGGACTGTGCTCACTGGAGAGAATTCCAAGTCCTGGACTTCGCTGAAGCATCTTGTTGCGCAGAAATACAGGCTCACTCCAGGGTATGTGAGTTGCAACGCGAGCCTTGGACATTTTACACATCCGTAGTTCTCGATGAACATGAAATGCCCCAATCAAGCAGTTCTTAGGTGTGCAGCTGAAGTTATATAATTGTTGGGCGTTTCTTGCCCCAATCACATCAAATTCTGAAGATCCACAAATAGATTGTCTATGTGGGTTGTGCTCGAGGGCACATACATGAAAATGGGATACACGAAACTTGCATGGTTGATCATCACGTAAACATCTATTGGGGATGGACGTCCATTTGTTAAGTAGGGACTAGTGCAACCATGACAAGGAAGCTGGTTTCACATGAGCAGTGTCAAAAGACCCCTGTTGGTTGATGATTTTGATAGTGGGTTATACTACAGTATGTATATGACATGTGATATACATTGCAGGTTTGCATAATCATATAACTATCATATTTTATCACTATATCATATTATTATACGTATATTACAATACATATGTATATATATACAAAACCAGGACAAAAGTTTTTCCTCTTGACTAGCTACTCCAACCCTCTCCCCTTAGACTCCTGACAGGTTGCATATGGATGACATGGTGGATCGCGGATCAGCTGGTTTGCTTTAAAAGAATTTTAATTTATTCCGACTTGAAATACGATCCGCCACGCAGGCCACGCGAAATGAGGATAATTGATCCGCGGCTGAGGATGATGATATTAATAAGGTACTAAACGGGAAAAAACTTTCTTCCTCTTGATGAGCATTTTCCACTAAACAATTTTGTTTTTTGATGAACATTTCCGCTTCACACAGTACTTCCACTGGTGGCGTTGAAGATTGACGCACGCGCGTGAAATTTGGGGTCTTCTCTTCTAGGAAATGCTGAAGGTGTAAAATAATGCAAGCATTTTCCACTAAACAATTTTGTTTTTTGATGAACATTTTCGCTTCACACAGTGCTTCCACTGGTGGCGTTGAAGATTGACGCACGCGCGTGAAATTTGGGGTCTTCTCTTCTAGGAAATGCTGAAGGTGTAAAATAATGCAAGCATTTTCCACTAAACAATTTTGTTTTTTGATGAACATTTCCGCTTCACACAGTACTTCCACTGGTGGCGTTGAAGATTGACGCACGCGCGTGAAATTTGGGGTCTTCTCTTCTAGGAAATGCTGAAGGTGCAAAATAATGCAAGCATTTTCCACTAAACAATTTTGTTTTTTGATGAACATTTCCGCTTCACACAGTACTTCCACTGGTGGCGTTGAAGATTGACGCACGCGCGTGAAATTTGGGGTCTTCTCTTTCAGGAAATGCTGAAGGTGTAAAATAACGTGAGCATTTTCCACTAAACAATTTTGTTTTTTGATGAACATTTCCGCTTCACACAGTACTTCCACTGGTGGCGTTGAAGATTGACGCACGCGCGTGAAATTTGAGGTCTTCTCTTCTAGGAAATGCTGAAGGTGTAAAATAACGCAAGCATTTTCCACTAAACAATTTTGTTTTTTGATCAACATTTTCGCTTCACACAGTGCTTCCACTGGTGGCGTTGAAGATTGATGCACGCGCGTGAAATTTGGGGTCTTCTCTTCTAGGAAATGCTGAAGGTGTAAAATAATGCAAGCATTTTCCACTAAACAATTTTGTTTTTTGATGAACATTTCCGCTTCACACAGTACTTCCACTGGTGGCGTTGAAGATTGACGCACGCGCGTGCATTTGGGGTCTTCTCTTCTAGGAAATGCTGAAGGTGTAAAATAATGCAAGCATTTTCCACTAAACAATTTTGTTTTTTGATGAACATTTCCGCTTCACACAGTACTTCCACTGGTGGCGTTGAAGATTGACGCACGCGCGTGAAATTTGGGGTCTTCTCTTTCAGGAAATGCTGAAGGTGTAAAATAACGCAGAGCATTTTCCACTAAACAATTTTGTTTTTTGATGAACATTTCCGCTTCACACAGTACTTCCACTGGTGGCGTTGAAGATTGACGCACGCGCGTGAAATTTGGGGTCTTCTCTTCTAGGAAATGCTGAAGGTGTAAAATAATGCAAGCATTTTCCACTAAACAATTTTGTTTTTTGATGAACATTTTCGCTTCACACAGTGCTTCCACTGGTGGCGTTGAAGATTGACGCACGCGCGTGAAATTTGGGGTCTTCTCTTTTAGGAAATGCTGAAGGTGTAAAATAATGCAAGCATTTTCCACTAAACAATTTTGTTTTTTGATGAAACATTTCCCGCTCACACAGTCACTCCACTGGTGTCGTTGAAGATTGACGCAGGCGGTGCGGCGTGAATTGTGGGGTGGGTCTTCCTTCTAGGAAAGCTGAAGGGTGTAAAATACGCAAGCATTTTTTTTTCCCCTAAACAATTTTGTTTTTTGATGAACATTTCCGCTTCACACAGTACTTCCACTGGTGGCGTTGAAGATTGACGCACGCGCGTGAAATTTGGGGTCTTCTCTTTCAGGAAATGCTGAAGGTGTAAAATAACGTGAGCATTTTCCACTAAACAATTTTGTTTTTTGATGAACATTTCCGCTTCACACAGTACTTCCACTGGTGGCGTTGAAGATTGACGCACGCGCGTGAAATTTGGGGTCTTCTCTTCTAGGAAATGCTGAAGGTGTAAAATAACGCAAGCATTTTCCACTAAACAATTTTGTTTTTTGATGAACATTTTCGCTTCACACAGTGCTTCCACTGGTGGCGTTGAAGATTGATGCACGCGCGTGAAATTTGGGGTCTTCTCTTCTAGGAAATGCTGAAGGTGTAAAATAACGCAAGCATTTTCCACTAAACAATTTTGTTTTTTGATGAACATTTTCGCTTCACACAGTACTTCCACTGGTGGCGTTGAAGATTGACGCACGCGCGTGAAATTTGGGGTCTTCTCTTCTAGGAAATGCTGAAGGTGTAAAATAACGCAAGCATTTGCCACTAAACAATTTTGTTTTTTGATGAACATTTCCGCTTCACACAGTACT